GCCTGAAGTAATTTGTATATGACAGGTCTAAGTGATTACCATCCATTAATCGTTTCGAAAAAATTTCATAATTCTCTCTAGGTTTAATGATAAAAGTACTAAGATATAGATGGACATCATATCAGTTTGTCTCCAATTATCTATTCAAACGCATTGATTTTCTTATATAATTTTATTTTTTCTTGAAAACAAAGCTTACTTTGTACCTAACATTTTTAAAGAGTAGAAAATTGTTTAAAATGCTGTGATAAGTCACTTGGATTATTGCGTTAATTGAGAACAGCCAAAGCAAGTGCAAACTTTATGTGGCCAGAGTGTTAGAGCTGCCTGAAACAACGGTGAAGGTCATGATAAGCCCGCCCAAGAGCAACAGGTCCAGCTGATGATCACTTCATTGCAGAACCTCAGAAACAGCTTTCAGATTTCAATTGAGAATTCTCATTAACAACGTATTGCTCCAAGTGCGGATGTCAGCAGGCGAACAGTATAAAGAAGGCTTGCTGAACTCTGGTGCAAAGGATCCCCATCTCTGGCCATAAACTCATCACAGCCCACCAAACAGCTTTTGTTGTGAACACACCGCCTGGACTGAAGATGATTGGACCTCTGTTCTGTTTTCTGATGAGTCCAGGTTTAGCCTATATGGCACAGACAGACATGTTCAAGTGCGGAAAAGACCAGGTGAGCAATTTTCTCAGTCCACTAAAGCAGGAAGAGTGCCTTTTGAAGGAGGATCGGTGATGGTTTAGAGTAGTATAAGTTAGACAGATCTCAAAGTGTTCCTAGGCCGATGCTCAATGCACATATGTATATCACTGACATCCTCGAATAATATGAGGTACCTTTGGCCCATTATGCAGAATAATGTACAGCCGCACATTGCATATGTTATAAGGGACTGCCTAGAAGTTGGTGTCCGCCTTGGAGTGACCAGCACACAGCCCAGACCTCAATCTTATTGAGCATCTTTGGGACCAGCTTGGGATGTCCATCCATCCCAGAATCTTCCAAGTGACCTCCAAGAGTTCAGGATTGTCTTGATAGGTGAATGGAATCAAATTCCTCGAGATCGGATAGGCAACCTTATCTGCAGTATGCCTATGATAGGCTGTTATTCAAGCAAGGGGAGGCGACATCATGTATTAGACACTCTGATTACATAATTAAAAAAAGATTTGAGGCATTTAATTTATATTTTTTTAAAGATTGTTCATTTGATTTTGTTTACATTACAAATTGTGTTAAAGGAGTTGTTATTTTTTCCTTTCAATTGTGGTCTCCTAAAAACAATATTTGTCACACTATATTATGATTGTTAAAAATTAGTAACAAAAATTTACAAAAGGGTAAAAAAATTAGAAGATTTTCTTTTGTTGGGAAAGAAATAATGATAAAACTCAAGGTGCGACAGTTTTTATGGCTACCAGTTTAGTTCAAACTCTGTGGCACTACTAAATTCTAATTTCTAATTTTTGTTACACTTTTTTGACCTCTTTTAATAAAATTAAAAATTACTTTCCAAAAAAAAAAAAAGAAATATCACTGCATTAATTTTTAAAATAGGTATTTACTATTATTGTATATCATTAATAAATAACTTCATTGAAATTGTATCTACACATTGCATACATTAAAAAAATCTGCTATTGATTTTTATTACATACATTACTCCTACAATTTTTAAAATAATATGTTATTTGAGAGGATATGAGAAATCCTACACAACTCTATTTTGCCAACATAAAGATTACTGAAATTTAACAACTTTATTTACTTAGCACAACTAACCCTAGCAGATAACTCAACAGATCTAGAATACTCTAGCATAAAAATACTTACAAAGTGACCTAGAAGGGGACGTGATAGTTGAGCACATTGGAGCGTGGGTTCTAGTGTGCCCAGTTCTGAACGTCATGCGATTGATTTCCACCTGAGTCAGTTAATGTTTATTTCTAGATGGCCCCAGAAAATGAATTCCCACTTGGTTAATATGCGGCGGCAACCTCTAGATAGCCATCAGAGATTGGCAAAAAGGCCCGAAATCGAAAAACCGAACTAAATATTAAATACTAAGTTATTTTTTGTATTTGTAATTTCAGTTTTTGGGGAACGGCAAGAGATAGATTCCTATTAATGCCACATAATAAATACAAATAAATTTAAACATAAGAAATATAAAGAATAATCTTATTTCAATACTGAATCAAACTTTAGGAAAATTTTATGTTTTCTATTTATCTCGGATCTATCCATTTTGAAATACTACCAAATCACGGTATTAAAACTTTTTTATATTTTGGAAAAAAGATAAAATTCTTTATACATAACAAAAATGGGTGAGACTTTCTTTAAATTTGGAATTTAGAAAAATTATAATTAAAAATTAAGGTTTATACTTCAAGCATTTTTAGCTGCAAAAAGTGTAAAATTAATATTAAAAGAAAAATTAGAAAAATATCAATAGCAGTCAAGAAAGAACAAGTTTCTAAACCTTTTAAAGTACAGTGGACACTTGTAATAAAGTGGCTCATTATAACATTAAGTGACTGGATTAAATCTTTGATTAGTCTAAAAGTAAGTAAACTACATATAATTTTAATTAATTTATTATTTTCATGAACTGAAAAAAAAAAAAAAAAAAAAAACCGTACTACAGAGGTGAATCTAATTGTAAAAATAGAGCCATTACCTAATCCAACAGTGCAGTTTTTCAATATCAAATTATTATGTTATTTGAGCAAAAGAGATATAATAAAGGATGCCCCAATTTATATGCATATATTAAGGCGGTTTACAGCAAAAACTTAAGTTACAAGTCCACTCCCCTTATCAATGGTATCATGAAATATAATTCCAGGGGTTTTTGTATCGAATTCAAGAAAAATGGTTCTTGTGGTTTTTATTCCTTGTCCTTTAAGAATACGGTAATGAAAATAAATAATATAGTCAACATAAACAGGGGAGAAAAGTTTCTTTAAATCCTTGATGAAAACAACTTTTTTTTCTTTTTTTTTTTTTGGTGAAGCATATTTTATATCATCACTATTTTCTTGAGTTTCTACATTTGCAGGTACTTAATAGCGCAGCTTCATCTATGACAGATAGTTTCTTGTTCTGACACATATTATGGGGTCCACTGTAAAAAAACTTAACAATATTATATAATATATTCTCCTTATTTTTGGTTTTACCTAGATTGTAAATACAACCATGTTTTCGGATGGAACATATATTTTATGTTTTAATAATATTGAATCTGGTCCAATTCATCATGGTTTCTTCAGTAAAGATCCATAACAATGAAATTTTCTAAATTCCTTTGATGTTTTACAATCATAATTTTTTTTTTACATAGTTTTAAATAGAAATCAAAACAGCCTCTGCACTTATTAGTCAATGGATTTCTTAGTCTCATCGATTATATTGGGAACACCACCAATAAATAGCCCAGGCATAGATAGTAAAACTACAAAAAAATAAAGTATTTTACTAATGTTACCAAAATATTCCACACAGCCCTTGCTTCTTATTACAAGAGTCCCTCAGCAGATTGATATATATATATAAAATAATAATACTACCAAGAAAATTACTTGAAATTTGATGCATGAAATCATTTTCTAAATTTTCACGAATTAATAGTAAATTTATTTAACTATATTTGGCTCAGACAAAAAATGAAAAAGTCATTTCAGCTATACCTATATCTATTAAGTATGCATTGTTTTTGTTTTATCCAGAAACTACCAGATACTGCTACCAGCCCTTAAATATCAACAAACCGAACGCAATTACCTTAATATATTCATCTACAAGATGATAAAAACATGCTGTAGATCACATCAGAACAATACCTAAAATACAACATACTTATATGGTAAAAAATAATAATATTAAAGCTTTAAAAATTATCGTCATTCAAAAAACTAGAAATTAGTGGTTAGTTTTGATCGGGCAGTGCTTTTTAAGCTATACTCTAAAATTTAATCTTTAAATCAAAGATTTGGATGAAAACTGGATAAAAATGATTCTATTGAAGTTCTTTAGAAAAAAGAACTGGCACAAAAAAAAAAAAAAGAAAAAGAATTTAAAGGGTAACAAGCTAAATTATTATTAGCAGAAATAATAGATTTTATCGAAATCTAATGTAATACCATCTGATAACATAACCTATAACTCAGTTATTAGTTTACAACTAGTTATATGCAACCATGGAGCAGATAAATGCAAAAATGATATGATGGAAGTTATTCTTAGCAATGCTAGTAAAACTGAAAAGTACTAAGGTACAAAAAGCTTCCATCTATTATCTTGCTAAACACAGATAGCAAGTAATAAAACAATAAACAAATACTGAAATATATCAAAAGTAGGTACTTGTAGTGTGATGTAGTTTTAATACAATTATAATTTCAGTTTACAATGTACTCTAAGACAAAGAATGTTGATTTGTTTTTGTGAAGAAAAGGACAATAAAATGAATATAGAGTAAAACAAAATTTAAAAATTAGTTATAGACCATATAAAACAAATCTGTTGATAGTTTATAGTTTTCATTACATACTACGAGTTAAATATGTCCTAGTTATAAATTACAGATATTAATATAATTAATCATTATGAATTATAACAACCTGAGCAGAATCTATAAAGATGAACACAATGCTCTGTCATGTAACAGGGAGTTCTAAAACTGCCGTAGCAAAAAAAGATCAAGAACTGCTGGCATAACCTTCCTTTAGTATAAGGCATAACTACATCCAACCAAACTTTAAACCATTAAAAAATTGAAAAGCTACTTAAAATCTTTTTAACTATCTACAGAATACACTCTTTAGAAATAATGTTTTTTTCCCAATTTTATAAAGGCCTTAAAATTACATAATTAGTATACCTGTATTAGTAACAACCTCTGCTTTGAACCAAGTGTACAAGTGCATTTAAGGGATCAATGTGTTGCTTTATAAGATGCTTCAGGCAGCTTGAATATTGGTTGGGAATTATATAGCGATGAGTCGGGTCTTACAGCCAACAGCCGTCCAGTTCTCCTTCAGCTCAGCGAGAGTGCTCTGCTGCTTTCTGTTCTCTTGTGTATTGCTTGACAGGACACCCTTCGCCAACCTCGTGAGAGGGGACAGGACTGCCGATGGTGATGTGAGGACAGTGCCTGCAGCCTGACTGAACCCACTCTTCAAGGACCTGAGGGCGTTCTCGCTCTGGCTTGAGCTTAGGCCACTGATAGCCAGCTCCAATGAGCCTCTCTCGGTGGTCCTATCAGTGCTACACACTTCTAGTCGATCTTTTTCATCTACTTCACTTGAAGAATGAGAGAATGTTCGCAACTAAACAAGAAAGAAAAATAAATTAAGATCATATTACAATAATTTTAATTTTGAGTTTTTTTTTTTATTTCTGTATATGACAACATTTGTTAGGCTCAGGAAGTTGAATTGAATGACAACTTGAATGGGAAAACTGGACAAAGTTGAAAAATTAGTGTTTTTTATCCGTGTTTTAAGCATTACAGATGTTAGGGATTTCAGATTTTCTCGTTGAGTTTTGATAATTTTTTCCATCAGTTGAATAGTACAACTTTTAAATGTAGCTCGTGGTAGAGTAGGTCGGGATAAGAATCGAAGTAAATAATTGCCTAACTGGGATCTCTAGACAAATTACTCAAGAATTCATAACTTTGGTTCAACTCATATTTTGTTTTCATTTAAAACCTATATTTTAAGTCAAGCAAACCTAAATATAATGTCAAAAGTCTACCATTAGCTATTGCTGAGTTTACCCCTAACGAAATTTCATTGGATCATTCGGACATACAAACAGACAAACAAATTTTTAAAAGTGGATTTGGTATCTGTAATGTATGAAATGGAAAGATATCATGAAACAGGTTGATTCTATTCAATGTACAGACAAAACCGTTATTTTATTTATATAGATATCACATATCCTTTCCAAAGGTATCATGTTACCAATCCTCATCATTAAAAAAAGATGAAAAAAAATTAAAATTTATTGTGAAAGGAAGACAAAGAATTTGAGGATTAACTGAAGTTCATTATAGCATGCAAAAATGGAAACTCATAAGCAAAATCTATTCTGCAAACAATACTACAGATGGGGAAAAAAATTACCTAATTGCTTACCCTTAACTGTGTAGGCGGATTCAATGCTGAATCTTTATCTTCGGTGATTACTACATCAGATGGGTCAACTGAATCAATCTGTACATTTGACATTACAATACCAACAGCAGGTAGGAATGATTCTGACTGGCTTAAACTATTGTTCAGTTCACCTTTGTTGTCCTCTTTTGTGTTTTCCTCAGAACCAACAGAAAATTCCTGAAAAAGAAACATTATTAATCATTAATAAAATATTATAATATTACATTATTTATTACATTAAATATTACAATATTTGGCAGTCGAAAAAAGGACAAGAAATATCAATATTAAATTATTTTTAAAATATTACAATATTTGGCGCCCGAATAGGAACAGAAATAATAATTTTTAATACGTCAAAATTGTACATACATCAATGTGCTCATGCATCGACACAAACATATGTGTGTATAAAATTGTGACATATTACAAATCCATCAATAATCAATCAATCTAAGGCTTGGTCTTCTTTGATGCCACACCCCACCAAGCTTTCTTCAACCGCGTTTTCCATTTTACCTTTGGTCTCTCTTCTACTTCCAACTCCATAAATACCTTTGGCAATCTTTCAGGTGCCATTCTTTTCACATACCCAAACCAGCATAATCTTTTCTTTTCAATATTTGCTATAATGTTTTTTTCCACCTCAGTTTTCCAGAATTGTTTCTTTTTTTATATTTTCCCTTCTGGATTTTCTTACTACCCTTCTCCAAAAGTCCATCTCTACTGCTAACAGTCTTTTCTGTTGTCTTGCATTGATGAACCATGTCTCCAAGGCATATGTTGTTATTGGCTCGAATAAAGACTCGTATACTAACCTCTTTGTTCTGGGCTGTATATTAGAGCTCCAAAGGATACATACAGTTGAGTATTGCTGTGACTTTTCTTCATTCACCAACTCTCCTGTCGATATCACTGGTGTATGTTCCTTCTCTATTAAATATAGTTCCTAGGTATTTAAATTTCTCTACTGTTTCATACCTCTTTCAATTGGCCTACAAACCTTAGATTGAGAAGGATGGAAGAATATCTTGAACGATAATTAGGTCAAGGATAACCACAGTAGTAGAAAAATCCAAAAATCCTTATTAAATATACATAAACTTAATTTTTTTATTTAAAATATTTGTTCAGAATAAAATGGACCTAAGTGTTCCAGTTTTTTATTAAAATATAAGAACAAGCTAAACATGTACAATATTTACAGGGGTAGCTGTGGAAGGAGAGCAGACCTTCACAGATTTTGAGGACTTTACTCGATTCGGGTTGAGGGTGTTCCCAAGTTTGCTAAATTTAGAAGTAACATTAGAGAGAGCTTTACTACCTGCAACAGAATAAAATTTTTGTCAACAACATATTAGATTAAAACTTTCAGTTTTACATAATTCTTTTCAGTAATAATAAAATTCAGTAAAAATTGTTGAATAAAAATCTTCCATAAGTTTGAGAAAACGTTTTTACTTTTTTTAACAAATATTATTTTTCCAATAAACTTTCTATGATTTGATATCTGGATCATGAGTTTTATGAAATACAGTAATGCATTAATGTGAGAATATCTTTAAAATTGCAATTCAAAATAAGTTTTCTAGATGTATAAAATAATTACAAATTCTAAAACCGTTATATTGTTCATATTAATTAAAAGATTTTCATAATAACATTTTTTGCCCAATTAGCTATCTTTAGACGTCAGTGCATATCCTTTAACCCATGATTCAAAATAGAATATAGTTTGACATCACTAACCTACAGATTTGATACTGTCCAATTGTAAATCTGTCATATTCCTAACAGCTGGAGGCGGCTGGGGAGCACCTCCCTCGAGGAGAGATTCAGGATCTATCTTCCAATCAATATCAAATACTGCAGTCGCATCTTTAGTCTGCTCCATTTCAATTGCTATCTTAAATGCATCGCATATAGCTCTAAGAGATTCTATAATATAAAAAATACTTTAATTAATCATTACAGTAGTAATAATAATTCAAGAAAAACAAGAAATAAATATATCAAACAGTAATTAGATTTTTATATAATATATATGTATATTTAATTAAACTTTTTTATAATAATTTATACTTAAAATAAATAAAAATAAAATTTTAAAGTTTCATCTTTATATTTGTTATGTACTGTTTTCTATAGGTTCATTCTTCAGATTCTTTTTGCTATATGAAGACATACACAGTTTTTATATAAAATAATAATAATAAAAGGCTCAGCGAACCAGATTTGATGCCGACATCCCCAATCATTGTCTACATACCTTCCTCCACCAGTTGCAAAGCAATTCTCCCACCTTCAATTCGGCCTATCCCTCGGATGTTTACCATGCAGCAGAGAGCATATTAATCTCGTAGGAATTCCTTCGTTACTAAATCCAACAATTTTACACACCCATTTTATATACCGCATTGTAATCACCTCGATTATATTAACCAGATACAGTTTACCGTCTAAATTCTCCAGTTGACTCTTCCTTCTTCTGGACGAATATTCTATGCAATACTTTATTTTCAAAAATCTTAAGACATTGTTCATCACTTAATGTAAGCGGCCATATTTTGCATCCATAAAGAACCGTAAGCAAGATAATTGTTTCGTAAATTATAATTTTTAATTTTTGGGACAATAGACACAAACTAAGTAGTTTTGTCAATAAAAAAAAAATGTTTATTTCACGCTTCAAACTAACCTTAACCATGAAGTGTCTTGGGTTCAGTCTTTACTGTAAGGAAGTACTGCTAAAAGGCCAACAGTTGTGCTGGGAGGTGTTTGGTTCCCCAGGTATTTCCTCTTAATCAATTAATAAGGGTACCCACTTTATAGATATAGGTGTTGATGACCTCAGGGTTTTTACGCCTCTGAGCCCTAAACAACAACAACTTTACAGATGGTGGCTCGACTTCGACCCCAAAAGGGTTGATCCACAGCAGATGAAACAGAATAATTTTCTGCCACACTTAGATTCAAACCTGAGTTGTTGGGAATAGAAGTTCAGTGCCTTACTGTGCTATCCAACTCCCAAAATTTGTTTTAGTTAACAAAATTGGAATATAAGCAATTGTCAATTAATGTAAGTTTATGATAAAAAGAAAGTAATATATTAATTATTTAATACGATTATTTTATTGTTAAATAAATGTAAAGAAAAAAATTAAAGAATTCTGAAGAGTATACTATTCCGTCAATGGAAAAACATGTAATAAAATAATTTAACATCATGTCACATAAGATTTTTAAAATTAATTTACCAATCATTTCATCTTCTCCCTTGATAAGGATAGCAACATTATTGAAGAACCGGAGATGAGATGACCTGAATACGTGAGCAAATACTTTGCTATCATGGCTGTAGTGAATACGTAGGCAGCACTGAAGGGTTGGTTTACCCTTTGTCTGAAACAAGTGTAGTAAAGACACAATGTAACTTTACATTAAGTTAACTTTACAGATTATAAATGAAAGAAAGAAATTTACATAATTCTCAATATACTCTAAATACTTATATCATTAAATTTTTTAACTATGTAAGTTATAAATAGTTAAAATTTTGAAGCAAAAATTTATGTTTTATTAATAGCAATTAGATAATATACCAGTATTAGTTCCATTATAACTCCTAAATAAGTGCTTATAAAAATTGGACCCTAATAAATATTTATTTAAAGTAAAATAAAAATGTTTATAGTTAAAAAAAAAAGTTTTCTGGAAATATTTTTTAAACATTTTGGGTTATACAGAATGAAACATAAACACAATACAAAATTAAGAACAATGTATTTTTACTTAATTATTCATAATCAGAGGTTGTTACCTTATTAAATATTTGCAGTCCGGAATGGCTAGGGTTTACTTCAATTTGTCCAAGCTCGAAACATGTAATGTCTCTCAAACTAACCTTTTGGCACTTCACAACCTTATCCACTTCGTCATCATAGCTAGACAACATTCAATTAATAAATTACACTATATATAGACACACATAAAATATCATATAATTTAATTAAAAATTCTCATTTCTTCATAAACTGAATTACTTTACATTACATTTCAAAAAAAAAAAAAAAAAAAAAAAAAAAAACATTATGTTAGATTTACTAATATATCCTTTATACTAAAACTTTAGTACTAATTCATAAAGGAGAAGGAACAATAAAGGACTTCTCAGATAGTGAACAATTGATATCTCATGATATTAAGGCAAGGAGATTACAATGGGGGAAACTTGTACCTTACGGCAATCTATCAGGAAGCCTCTGTACAACAATAAATACATCAGATGTAGGCAAGAGACCATGTGGAAGATATAAGGCATGTATTATATGAACATTGATTGGAATAAACTGCATTCAACCCCTGATAACATATTCATACTACTTAAATTGCTAAATGAAAGTATAATATCAATAGAATGTAGACTTAGACTGCTTATAAGTTTTTAGTTACCAGTTTTTGTCCTAAAACTTTTTGTGTTTTTCACAACTCAGAACTAACCTTTTATACTCCTTACAGTTTATAAGAAAGAGTTTATGAGAACAAAAGATATTAGTAACATTCTCGAAAACAATTTTTCAGACCTGAGAAACCTTATAGAATGCAATAGCTAAAAAAGTGTTTTTCAGTCAATTTCCTCTCTTTTACTACCTTAGCAAGTTCAAGAAATAGAAAAAAAATATTACACTAAGCAAACTTAATATATAGGTATTTATATATAAATGGATCTTGATTTTTTTTATTTAAAAAAAGAAGAAAACTGTATAATCTAATGACATTAATAATGAGAGAATCTCTTACTTACTCTGCAACGTAATACGAATCTTTAGTCAAGATGAGGATAGTGTCCATGTCTGTTTCAGTTGGATCTCCAGTCCTGAAAAAATTCAGTAGTGTTTAATCCATATGAAAAGAAATCTTTGTCGATAAAAAATGTAAGATTCTTTTGAAGTCATGGCCCTTATTAGTAGAACCCAAAAGCATTAACAATCATAACATGATTACATTTTGATAGTTACCAATTATCAGTTATATATAAGTAGGTAAGTTTTTTTTCCGGCTTAAAGTTTAAATTCCCCATCTTTAATTAATTAGTAAAATAAATACATAGTAAGGCATTGTATATATTGACATATTACAATTCATTCTTATTAATGTCATCATTAATTAATGTTCTATCAAATATTAATATTCTGAGGGATGCAAAGGTTGGCCATTATGTAGTTCAAAGCTAAATCCTGCTGAACATCAGTGGAATGAGTTGTTAAGGCAAATAAAGATATGCTCAACTAAACCAGAATCAACCCTGTCATGGAAAAGAAGGTTTGTTCTAATGGACAAATATGATACTATTCATAAAAAATGTATTCAAAACCTCTTAATACAAATGTATAATGGAATATTAGCCATAATGAACATGTAATGAGTAAATAACCACAACTGAATATTAAATTTTCTTTTAAAAAATAAAATAAAAAGTTACTTTTTAAATAAAAATAAAGAGTACCCCCTTTTCAATTGCCTCTTGAGTATTTATCAACCATATATATATATATATATATATATATATATATATATATATATATATATATATATTTTTTTTTTTTTTATTTTTTTTTTTTTAGCACTACAGACGATGAAGATCTTTGACCGCGAGCGTGATCCTAGACCACTATATATATATATATATATATATATATATATATATATATATATATATATATATATATATATATATATATATATTTAATAATTTTTTTAATATTTTTTTTTCTACAACTTAAGGAGTCATATTCTCAATACCCAAAAGCCACTGCTCCCTGTCCATCCAATCTCCTTCACGGAGCCCTCTGGCTGCCATGCTTTCCTCTATGTCCTCTATCCCTTTCTTCTTTGGCCTTCCACGCTTCCTTCTTTCACGTGGCATATAGTTATAAATTTTCTTTGGTCAGCGGTTCTCATCCATCCGCATTAAGTGGCCATACCACTTTAACCGTTTGGTCCCGATCAGATGAAGGATGTTCTTTTGACATCCGAACTTGTCTCTAATTGCTGCGTTTGGGATCCGCTCGATTCTCGATATGCCACAGTTTCTTCTCGAGAAATCTATTTCCATGGAAAGCAACCTATTTTCCGCCTTTTTTGTAATTGTCCAAGCTTCTGATGCATAGGTGGATACGCTTTCTACAAAGCAATGGTAGATCTTCATTTTAGTTTCCAATCTTATTTCTTTACTCCATAGGGTTGAATTTATCGAACTTATTATTCTTTTCCCATTATTTATTTTATGTTCGATGTCAACCTCACTACCTCCCTTTGAAGATAGCCAGTATCCGAGGTACTTGAACTGCTGGCTGACATTGAGTGTCCAGTCATCAATTTCAAGTGGCAAATTTGGAGCGTTGAAAACCATGTACTATTTAATAAATTAAATGAAAAAAAAATCATCGCTTACATTGGATCAGCATTGATGAGTCCCCATGCTCCAAGGATAAGTGATGAATCAGAAACAAGAAGCTTTTTACAATCCTCTATGAGTAATTTGACATGCTCAGCATTAGCTGTGGAAATATCAGTTTCGACTTCAAGTGCTTCCTCTGTTACTGCTTCCCCTATCAATATAAATCAACAGAACAACTTTTAGGTATAAATAAAATAAACTAGAATAATATTAAAACATCTTATCTAATAAATCAATTATCAGAAAATAGAATTCCGAAAGTTGTTACAAGAAAAAATCAATGAAACCGAGCATAAATATTATTTTATTCCTTTATTCGATAGGACTTTTAGAGCTGTCTATCATGAGCAATTGTCATCCAATATTCATTGTTTAGCTTTATGTTATTGTATGTTTATTTTGTCACAAAAGTTCTTGGAATCAATCAATGTGACAATACTCATTACCCAAAATAATCATTATGGTTTTTACAATCTGATATACTAACAATCCCCAATAAAAAGTGGCCATTTGACCCTTCAGTGGGTTTCTGAAAAAAAAAATGGTGATTGAGAATTATGGTTGACGCTGAACATATTAAAAAATATTTATGATAATACTGAGTAAACGGCACTCCAATAATATACGCATTAATCAACAATATATAACACAAATCAATAATTAGCATCAAACACTATCAAGTTATTTCAAACAAAGTAATTACCTTGCATTATGTCAATAGTCGCTTGTCTGTAAACATCCTTAAACCGACTCAGGTAGTACCTATAAATAACACAAATATATAAATATAGATAAAATAACCTATTATTTTTCCTTTCTATTAACTCTTTATATATGTAGAAAATAAGAGAAACAATTTATTTATTTATTTTAAATTCATTAGAGAATGTTAGATAAACAATAATAGAAATCAAATGTTCTAAATATAAACCAAAGTGAAATTCAAACAGCATCAAGACAAAGTAGGGCCAGGAACTCACCAGGAGTGTCTAGCTGACCCGAGTGACCAACAGCGAAGGCTATGTTTGTATGGGTCTGTATCTTTAATTCTCAAAAACCATAAATGATGTGATCAAAAAAGATGGACTAATGTGAACATCAAAAAAGACGATTGGCCTTGATGAAAGAATCATTACTAGCGTATAGCCATAATCAAATATTTGGTGAGAACCATATGATATTAAATGAGACACCAAGGTCATTTTTATATCATTTGACCATTTGATCTTCCTGATTTTCAACTTCTAAAAAAACATTCAGAATTGATTTGCAGGTTCTTTTTTGGAAGAAATATGATAAAATTAAAACAAAACCCAACACATCTTAAAAAAAAAATCTAGATATAAAGCTATAAAATGTTACGAGTGTTACTATCACCAAAGTATATATGTACTAGCAATGATCAATATGTTTTGAAATGATACACTCAGAAATTTGAACAATAGAGATTTCAGTTACCTGATGCTATTTCAAAGTAAATCTTTTTGCTAACTCTAGTACTTTGACTGTAAAGCAGGAAAACTGGTTTGTTCCCAAGATTTGGAAAGAAAAAAATATTGTCACGAGTGTTACCGGTTAGCGATAATAATAAACGAAAATTAGCACTGAAAACTGACTACCGATGCTCAAGTTTGTTATTTAGAACATCTATACTAATATTAATAATTTTTTTTTTTCATTGTGACTGCAATCCCCAATTAACTCTACAACCATATTTATTTATTAATTTAAATAAAACAAATAAAGTAGGTATTGGTTACAATATGGTTTTAGAGAATATAAAAACACCAGAGATCTCTGCAATAGTATAAGCAAAAATTGTGCAGTTTGTTTCTATGAATAAGTTTTGTAGAACCTCAGAGTTCTGCTCCATATGTACAAATATGTCTTAGTATCATGGTGTACATAAGTCCCTTGATGTGTAAGTTGAGTGAGAATCTAGAGTTCAAAATGTCTGACAGATGATTGTATCATCCGACAGTGTTTGTTTTTCTAATTTGGTTGGTATATTCCAGCTGAGTCTTATGTCTAAATAAAGCCAGAGATATAGTGCATAATTTTCTTAGGGAACTGGGTTGTTATCTATTGTAACAGGTGATGATGAAGCTTTTCATTCGGGAAAACTTATGCAGTAAATTTTCTGGACTTTATTTTAAAATTTCCATTAGTGAAACTACTTTTAAAGACCAGAGAGATGGTTCTGAAGAGCAGCAGATACGATAGTTGAATTTTTGTGAGGAGAAAGAATTGTTGTGTCATCAGTGAAGCTTTAGATGGTGATGCACGGTTGTTCAGTGAAATCAGATATGTAAAGCGCACAGAAGAGAAGACTTAAATCTTCAAGCCCACAAATTGAGGAAATAAGAAGGAAATAGAGGAATAGAAATACAGAAGAACTAATCAAGAAAGAAAGATTGAAGGATTAGAAAGTAGAAGGTATGAGTTTTTATTTTTCATAAAAACAGCTCTTGCACCAGAAATGCTTTCTCAATGTCAAGGAAAATAACAAAGCAGTGTTCCTTTTTCTCTAAAGCAACGGAGACAGACAGCATCCACTATACAATGAAACTGTTGTTCAATGGAATGTTATGAGCAAAATATGGACTGGTGGTTCAGTATAACTTTATGACTTCTTAGGAAAGGCTTTTTCCAATTTAGAAATACTTTTTCTAAAACTATTCCTGTTATAGGTAGTGATGCAGTAATAAGATGAAGAATTTATAGTTTATAGGCTTAGACGAGTTAGGAATCAGTTTGGTTGTGGGTTGTTTCCAAAGGAAAGAAACATAAGTCGTGAGTAAGATGCCATTATAGATGTAAGTAAGAAAGAGAATAGCTATGTTGGAAAGGGACAATTTTTAATAAATCAATTATAAACTAACAAAGATATATTATTTCAGAGTGATACATTCACTGTCTGTCAGTGATACTGAAATTTCATTAAATTAATTATATGAAAAAGCAGTTGATTCCCTTCTTCGTTAATGCTTTGAGGGCAAAAATTTATAAAAATTGGTGAGAGACAGGTCCAAAGAATATAAGAGTGCTGAGAAATTTCAATTTAAAAGTCTTATAATAGTTGCTTTTTCTACGATCTCTTAATGCATGAAGCAACCAATATCTTTATTTGTTCTTATCTCTAGGTCAGAAGGAGTTGTAAGATGTTTATGCAGTAAAACACCATAAAATATGCAAAAAAAATGTTAAAATTTCCACACGAATAGAATAGTTGAGTTGAATAGAATTGAAAACTCAAAAATGCAATTATGCTTTTTTTTAATCTTAATTACTAATGAAAAAATTTAACATAAACATTAATATGATAAATAATGAGTGGTTAAGACAAGAAAGAAAATAAAGTAAAACAAAAGTTGTTCTAAGTGAGCAAATAACAAATGGAATGATCAAATAAATTATAAAAATAATTCTTTTTATTTTTTTTCAAAAACATTATTAATTGAAAATGTGAAATAAAATTAGTAACCAATTCAAATGACAATAAATCATGTATAACTTGACCAATTAGTAAAGGCCATTCCCATTTCTCCACCATTCCACCGTTACGGACTGGCCAAAGTAAATGTTTAAATTAATAACTTTTTATGATGTAAAAATAATAATATGGAAAATAAAACAGATAAAAACAAATGGAAGTTACAAATTAAACTAATTGCCTAAAAAAAAAAAAAAAGAGTGAATGAGAAATCACCGCAAAGTAGACTTTTCTAACAATTTATCAACACATTAGAGTTTTTTCATTACTCTATAATAGGTTATAATAATTAATTATAAGTTCATTTTCTGTTTTTCCCCCCAGACATTTAGTCGAAAAATAAAAATAAAAATCCATCTTCCCTCTCTCACACTACGAAATTTGTTTTAATTAAAATAAAAATAACTTTATATACTTTAAAGAAAAATTCTTTTTATCAAAATATTGAAATACATGTACTTATCTACAAATATGCAAAATAATGAGTTTAATTGTGACTAAATGCACCGATTCAAAAAGATATTTGAATAATTGCTAAACAATAGTATGCAAATTCATATTGCATGAAAAATCGGTCTCCGATCGTGAGTCCGTAGAACCAGCTAGAAAAAAAGGCTATTAGAAAAAGAAAATAACAAAAAGCATGATATTAAAAAACAAACCTTGCAACAGAAAATGCTGTTATACCAATGTAGAGTTGATTGGCGAGAGGATCATAAGAGTAAACTTTCGACGACAGGATGTCCTTTACATCCCGCCTCCAAAGATCCAGATTAATGTTCGGAGGAGGAAACCCTTCGGGGGATAACTGACCTTGGCAGAGATCAATACTTAACTGCTCCAAGTCATCAGATACAACACATCTCAAGTAGCTAACAATTACATAACTACGTCAGATGCTTCTGAATAAAAATTGACAAAGATAACAATGCTTGAACAAACTTGAGCTAAAAGCTAGTTAGCCTAAGCATTGCCGAAAGATGGCCTCTTTAAATAGCACTAAAATTTAGGTTTTATTTTATTTTTTACTTTTCTAATGCTATTCTTTTCTCAAGCCTGTTCAATAAAAATTAGTTTGATATTTTAAACAGACATTATTGCAAATTGAACACATCACCTTGGATATCTATTTCCTGCTAAGGATGTTTATGATTATCAGTTCGAAAAACATAAGAGAATGAGCATTTTGAGGTTATCAAGTATATTTGTAACAATTTAAAATACTGTGAACTTTAATGTTTAATTATTTTTATTACATTGTTTTTTTGGGATGGAGAGATACTTTTGGGCTTCTTATTATCTGGACCACACCACAGACTGATCTCCAAAAATAAATATCATTAAAAATAAATGCAGCCAACCACCTATCACTTCAAATTTCATTTCAAACTAAACAAATTAACGATTTGATGCTAAAAGATATCAACTGATTTTTTTGTTTAATGAAATTTTCTTTCTTAGATAAGATGTCATGCAACCTACAGCAAAAATGTAAACTACTGTTTCATCTAAATACTTAGAGTATTTACACATTCTTTTGAATAATTCGGGAAGTACAACAAGGCTAAAAAAATTCCCATCTTAAAAAAAATCATATGTTTCAGTACAAATGCAAAAAATCTCCTTGCACTATAACTTTTACTTAACTTAAAACTAAACCACCCTTGATAACTTTTTTAATTTTTCTGGAGTCAAAATTATCGACTATATATTTATTATAAATTAGCAGTCAGAAAAACCAGTGCACCTTGAATTTTATGAAAACAATGGAGATTAAAGAAATATATTTGAGTCGTAAGTGACAACAGAACCCTCAATGTGTCCTCCAAGTAAATGAATGGGATCACATTCAAGAACGAGTAGCCAATCTTATTTGCTATATTCCTGCAAGAGTACAGGCCAATATTCAAGCAAGGGGAGGTGTTACTAGGTACTAGAGACTCAGATTCAACAACTACAAAAAAAAAAAAAAAAAAAAAAATGTGTTTTATTTTTGTTTAAAAGAGTGTTCATTTGCTTTATTTTACATTACAGATTTTTTTTCCCCTTTATTTTTGGTCTTTTAGAAACAGAATATGTCACACACTATTGAGGTAAAAAAATTGCAAATTCTTTTCGGTTGGGAAAGAAATAATGACAAAATTTAAGGTGCACCAGTTTTTTGTATGTCACTTGTGCCTTCAGTGTATTTCATTTATAATAAATCTTCTCAAGGGCCTTATTTGTTTTTCCTCTTCTTCTTCTTCTTTAGTTTCTCTCTTTCATGCCTCTCAGCGCAAGGGGGTGAGCAGCCACTAACTCCACTCTTCTCTGTTCTTTGCCATGTTCCTGGCTCTTCTTTCTTGCCTCTTCATTTGCAGAGTCTATCGATGTACTTCAGATATGAAATTCTTGGGCGTTCTCAAGGTCTTTTGCCATCCAGAGGGTAGTCCATTGTTAATAGGTTCCTATGTTCTTCTATCCTAATCACATGGCCTCTTCTCGTCACAGGCTTTTTGACGGAGTAATTGTAGAGCTCTCACCATCTCAGGGCCACCATATTTCACAAATTCTGCCATTATATTATCTTGTCTCGGTGCTTTCCCATTCTTCATTCTCGAGATAGCTTTTTCTATCGCCTCGTCAAGTCAAACTTAGCCTCATTCCACTGTACTTCTGGGTTCACTAGATACATATCATCTACACCTAATTACTTGGTATAACATTTACGCCAGACTTCCAGAATGGCTGTATCCTCCGTTATCACCTTCCTATTCTCATTCTTTACATCTCTACATTACATGGGCCCACATGGTGGAGATCGTATTAAAAATGAAAGTGGATAGCACCTACTTGAGTTATATATTGAGCATGATCTGCTTCTACGAAACTCATTCTTTCCTCACAAGTGGATCCATAAAATAACTTTCTCCACCACTGAGAGAAGTACCAATTGTGTCATAGACTATTTTATTTATAACTATGACATCAGGAGAAATTTCACAGATGTGAAAGTTAATAGAGGAGCAGAAATAGGAAGCAACCACATGCTTTTTATAGCAGATACCCGGGTGCTAAAGGAGAGCAGAATAAAGGTAAAAGCGTATGAAAGGATAGAAGTAGGTAAGCTATAGGATCCTCAGAAGAGAGCTGAATATGAAGAGGAATTGAAGAGACAGGCTCCAAGAAATTGATGCAGACACAAGTCTAGTTGAGATGTGAGGTTTTATAAAAAGCATTACCCTGCAGGTAGCTTCCCTAGTTTCTGGAATAAAGAGGATATACTCAAAGGGAAAGTGAACTTCATGGTGGAGTGAAGAGCTGAGGGCGCAGGTCAGGGAAAAGAAAACTGCATGGAAGGACTACAGGCAAGACAAATCACCAGAGAAATGGCAAATATATCTTATGGCTCAAAATAAGACAAAGGAAGCTGTAAGAAGAGCAAAGCAAAAATCGTGGAAGGAATTCGGAGAGAAACTAAACCAAGGTCATGCTGAGAATATTAAATTATTCTGGAGGAAAATTAAAGCCTTAAGAGGACACAAAAGTAAATCCATTAGAAATGTAATGTTTTTCCCTAGAAATTAAAAATAATAATAAAATAAACCTTTATATTTTATTCATAAGGATTTATACAGGTCTTTATTGGAAGTATTTACAACAGAATATAAATAATTGATGGTTTTAATAAGTTTTACAGGAACCAATGTATTGCAATTAAAAAACAAAAAGTTTCAATACATTTTTACCATGGCTTCACAATCAAAACTCCCTCCTAACCAAAGAAAAATGAATAAATAAAAATATGTTCCAAAAAAAATCTCTTTCCCTACATCATAAAAATAAATATTATTCCAAGAGTACAGTTAAATTGAATATTTTAATTTATCAATAAATAACATACAATACCAATTATCACATTAATATAATTAAATTAATTTACAGTGTTATGATATACTCACCGATTAGCAGAATTCATCCCATCTTTCATCAGCCCAGTAAACTTTCTTTCTCCAGTTCGTGTATAATCTCCCTAAAATTATGAAGAAATAATTGCTAATGGATAACATAACGGAAAAAAATTAACTGTTCTTTCTTACTATCACCATGTAAATAGCCTTCCATTTTGTGGGTGGTCCTGGGTTATTTACACTCGCGAATTTTAATTTTTAAAACAAAGCCCCGGTATTGGATTTAAACTTTTTGAGGATGTTTACTGTTGGGAATTCGGGAACCTAATGCTTTTGTGACACCTAGTTACAAGAAATAACAAGAATATATATGAAATGTGGGATTGAGTAAACACACTTTGAATCAATTGACTCACCTGGTTTGTTATTCTTCAATTGTGAGGCATATAGGAGGACTAAATAAAAGGACTATCCACTCCTGTATAACAAAATAATTTATTTCCAGAACTGTAATAAATTAATTGATCTTCTTAATCTTCAGTGGAGTTAGCTTCTCTCCTATGGTAACCTCCTTCCTTCTTCCTGCCCCTGCCTCAAGTGAAGTCTTCTTTGTTCTTCCGCATCCTTCTCCAGCTGCTGCCACCTACTGGTACTTTTCCAGGCTTGTTTTTTTCTTTGTTCTGTACCTTTTTGTCAATTGTTTATAGATTTGATACTTTTCAATAAACAACTTGTCCACTGCACAATAGAGTCCAATTCATAGTGCTACCCTACATTCCTATAAATTCCTTCTCATTCCCTTACTCAATGTCACATTAAGGAGTAAATACTAGAGGCCATCTTCTACAACTATTAGTTGCAACAGTGTTTTATTGTTAAAGGCAGATAATTTCACTAATTTATCTACTAAAAATATGTAGTAAAAAAATAAGATAAAATCTTAGAATTAATCTTACGGAGAGTTAAAACAAAACAAAAAAAACTTATACATATATGATTCAGTAATTGGAAAGAATAAATTCAAGTGTATAGACATTGGTCAAAATAAGAATAAACAATAAAGCCCAATCTGGAACTTTTCATAACACATATTTTCAACTATATGTATATATTCAATCTTTCCTCTCTCAATGTACCCAAGAAGTCTCTATTCCTAACCAACCTTTATCTTCCTATCTAACTCTGTCCTCAGGAGTGGCACAGGGCTCTAGCATATCTCCTCTCCTTTTTAGTTCATATATTAACGATCTTCATAAATCAATCCTTCACTGTTCCCATCACCTTTATGCCGATGATTCCCAAATTTACCTCTCCTTCGCTCCCTTTGAGTGGCATGATGCACTTGCCAAAATACAACAAGACCTAAATCGAATCTGTACCTGGGCAAATGAAAATAGATTAAGGTTAAACGCTGCTAAAACCCAAGCCTTTGTCATTGGTTCCAAACCCGTTCTCAGATCCAATACCAACATTCTCTCCTCTACCTATATGACCAACCCATCACCTTCAACTCTTCAGTTAAAAACTTAGGTATTTTCATAGATCAAACCCTCTCCTGGAATCCCAAATATCCCGACGCTCAATTTTCACCCTGAAACTCTTCCCTCACTTCCGCCATCTCCTATCCATGTCCACACGTAGGCTCCTAGTACCCGCCTTCCCCCACCTTGACTACAGCTGTGTAGTGTACTGTGGCCACTCATCAGAACTTGGAGACAGACTGAAAAGGATCATGAATGGCTTAGTAAGATTTATCAATGGAACCCCGAGACGTTCTCGTGTATCCCACTACTACGCCGAGTTAGGGTGGCTCTTTCCTTCCTTCAGAAGACAATATTTCCGAGGTACATTCCTTTACCAAATAATCTATAATCATCGTCCGTCCTAAGCATTCAATTTCCTTCAATTCAAGTCATCTATCCACTCCCTCTCCACAAGATCTCGTCCTTCTGACATTTATATCTCTTTCCACAAATCTGCCTCATTTCAGCACTCCTTTATTGTCCGCTTCACCACCATTAGGAATTCCATCCCAGTTTAAATCCGCCATGCACCATTCCTATCCATATTTAAAACCCTCCTATTCCAATTCCTCCTTACAATTCAATCAGATGCTGGATAGCGTTCTATCATGTAACAAAATTGTATTTTTTTCTATGTATCATTTGTATATAAATATATATTCTTTTTTGAGTATGGAAAAGATGTCTAGTCACGTTTGTTAAGAATTATTTTTCAATGTATAAGATTCTAAGTCTTAGAGCAGTATTTAATTCATTACTATTTCATGCTTTCCTCTATGTGTGTATCATCTTTTATTTTCTCCAATCAATCTATAGCTTAGGATATAGATTATATAATATTTACAATGCTATTATTGTATTCATTTGAACAATCATCATTGTATCATTGCTCTTTTATTATTATTTTTTCATTAATTCAATGGTATGACAACACAAGCAATTTATCGTTCATTTCGGATTTCATTTAGTATTCCATGGTTTATTGTTTGTAGCAACTATTTTGCAGTATTGTGACCATCTTGCTCATATTATTTCTTTAATATATCTGTATAGTTATGTAAATACTTCTGTTATCACTTAGTTGTTAGTTAATTTTTTATTGTAATATCTATTTTGGCCAGATAAGTTAATTTTTATGTACAAAATTGTTATTCTTAAGGGACTTTGTCCCAGAATAAAGTTGATTCTTCTATTCTATTCTATATTGCATTTTTACCTTTTCCATTTGATTTTATTGACAGCATTATTGTTAGGTTATAATATGAAAAAAAAACATCACTCCATGATATCCAAACATGTTCGGTGCAATGTGTTTTTATATCCCAAAGATGGCTGAATTAGCGAAACATTGACGAGTTAGTTTGTTTTTAACCTGCATTTTAGAGGCAAAAGGCTGGGCTTTTTTTTCCAATTATAACTTAACATCTGTATTTCTGTCCTTTATTATTTTATTTGAATATCTGTACCATGGAGGTAAAGGACAATATGTCACATTTTTGTATTTATTTGGGGAGTCAATTTTCCATAACTTTTGAGCTATTAAAATTTGTTTCTTAGTTACTAAATTATTTAATAAAAAAAATGGACATAGTATCCTTTGCCTCCAGCGTACTGATATTTTAATACTACTTAATGTTGATGTATTCTCGTTAATTTATACACAAACAAACCTTAAGTGCATTGGTTCCAGCATACTGCTTGCTAATGACATCGCCATTGTTGGCCCACAAAAGCTGAAACTTGGATTTCAACGATGTGGGCAGCTGTCCTTCAGGCAGAAGCAGTCCAAGTTTAGTTAACTGTATCTCCAGAACAGATCGCCCAATGGCGGTCTATATGAAAATCGAAATGATACCTGAGTATTAAAATAACACACTAAAACAATAATGAAAGGAAAACTATGTAAATTCCTAGTTTATTCATTAGTGATAAACAGCACAGAACTTTTAGTTTTCACCGAGGCATATGATCTAGCCTTGTCAATTCATGAAATAAAAATCCAAAATATTTTTTAAATGAATGGGGCTAAGCAGAGAGGATGACTCTCAGGTCTTTCTCAGGGTACTGGAGGTGGCAAGCACTGAACCAAGATATTAGGCAGAATCTGATTGACAATTAGCCACATGTCAGAGAGGAATGTTGAGGCACTTAATGACGGTACCAATAAGATAACAAATATTGGTAGTCACTTTATTTATTAAAAAAACAAAACAATTATTTTACCTACTGTTATTGATGAATAATAAAGTATCAAGTTTCAGAGAGTAAAGCACTACATAAAATATTTGACCCCAAGAAACAAAATTTAATAATGATATAGAGATGGTTACACAAAGCAATTTCATAGATCTATTAGTAAAAGGGGCCTATAACCAGATCAGTAATGATCAGGCTGGGGAAGGATGGAGTAACAGAACTAGATATTAAAAGAATGGGAGCGACCTTTAATATAGAGTGGAATAGATGACTGAAATGGTACTGTTACCATGAAATATATAACAAATTATTATATCGTTTTGATATGTATCAAAAATATTTTATATGCTTTGAACAGTATTTATAAGCACTTGAAATTTTTAATAATGATCATCTATCGATGGAAAATATAAACTAAATAGAATGGACTTTGTTCTAAGCAAAACTCCACTAAAGAAAATTTTAAGGTACACAAGAATTGAATAATCTATTAAAAAAAGATTCTGAACACTAAAAACCTCAGAGGTAGACCAATAGTGATAATAAAAATGTATAGTAATAGAAAAGAATTTTTTTAAGAAGTAAAAATGTTGTATGGAATAATAAAAAAAAAAATACTGAACCTGTACAACATTCGTTCTGTCCAGGCAATCTATACAGTTAACCCTGAACACTCCATTCTGATGACAAATTATTCCATCTTTATCTTTCCAACAGAAACCCATTTCTTGAATAACATCCTGCAGTTTGGATAAAAGTAGTGAGACATTTTCAAATTTCATACCTCGACTGAAAATGTATAAAACAAGTTGTATAAATTAGACATTAAAATATCATATAATCATTTTCCTATGTTAATTACATACTTTTTTTAGGTAAACTATGAAGCTTTTTATAAGCTTATAATTATAAGTAAAATATATATATATTCACCAATGCTCGTGGAAGTCAAAGACAGCATAGATGACCTGGTCTGAATTAAATTGTAAAACATGTTGAGTGAAACCTTCCCAAATCACCCGCTCCTTCCCTGTTTGCTCGGCTAAATTTATAATGCAAACAGGACCATAATGTGTAATCTCGCCCTTCATATGCTTTTCAAAAGCCAATTTTGTTTCACTCTCACCTAAAATTTTATCAAGACATGAAATTAATAAAGAAATATGTTAAAGATGCAATATACATTCTTTATTAATATACTTGAAAGCATGAACTCCTAAACTCTATAGATCTATCCAGTGAAATTGTTCTGTACAGATCAGCAAAAAATGATGTTAAATTTATCATCTATAATTTTTTCTAATTAGTATAATTAAGGTGTAGATAAAGGAAAAATTTTGTTTGTGTCATATTGCCTAAAATCACTTTTCGAGATAATGCAAAATTTACAACTCTTTTCCCATTGTCATTGGTCTCTTCATGGATACCATAGAGGCCAATGATTGGTATGTATACTTCTTCCTTTCTGATTTTAACATTAAAATCTCCCAACAGAATCTTTATTTCACTCCTAGAGCATACGTCATGAGCTCATTCTAATGTGTGGTAGAAGTTAAGAAGAAATTCTGCGGAGAATGGTCTCCTCCTCAATTGATACTTCGGTAGGTGTATGAAAGCTGGTAAGGCTTTATAAAACACTCCTTTGATACGATGGGTAAAAAGTGGTTCATTTGCTGGTGTCTCATTTGCCCTCTCTTAAAATAAATATTATCATTTATTTTGCCATTTTATTTCTGACTGATCACCCTAACCATCCTTCTCTTCATTAAAAATTATTACTACTAGTTTCCATCGATTCAGAAAAGACATTTCTAGCCTATTAATAAGTAGAATATAGTTACTTGAATATATATATACAATGGCTCATAGTCAAAATGATACACTGGATATTGATAGAAATTATTGAATAAATAAATAATTCAATTTACATCACACTGAAAACAACAATTTATTGTAATCAATAAATATCCTATTCATATGTCAGTTTTCTTGTTATTACATTATGTTATGTTTTGTATTATTTCTTATGTTCTATTTCTTGGTGTGGGGGCGTACGGCAGCTTCTGGTTTAGGAAATCTTCACTTTATAGTAGAAATATTCACATGGTATAGTAAATAAACATGTTTACATAGACATTTTGAAAAGAAACTTGTAAGAAATTGTAGAAAATCTGGGACTAAAAAAATAAATTTAGTTTTTATCATAAACTCGGGCTAAGCCCAGAATTCACCAAAAACCTGTTCGACTCCATTACAAATAAGCTGAAAGAAAATAATTGCTTGTCTGGAAGATATTGAATTAAATCAATAGTATTTGAAAGTTAAAAAGAAGTGAGATATATCATTTTGACTATGAGGTAAAATTATCAATTTTTTTTTGTTTATACATTTTTTTAAATAATCAAAGTTGAATAGTTTAATTTTATTGAATTTTTACACATTTTTTTTTTTTTTTTTTTAAACTTTTATTATGATATTTACAACTGTATTAGTATGAATACATCAAGTAAATTTGTACAGAGAAATATTATTACATGAAACACGCTTGTTGAGAAACTACCCACTGGTAGCACTCTAATAATTTGTCTACATGAGAAGATCACGAGGCCATTTTCTTTTCAGACGCCTCGGAGGGTTATCAGGAATCGAAGAGGAAGCAAGGTTAGAAACAAGAGGATTTGGATGGTTATGAAGTTTATTATGGAAGGATAGGTATCTGGATTTGGCCAAATCGGAAACATATGGAACATTGAGGTCTTTATGGATTATTTTATTAGTGACAAAGTAAGGAGCATTGAGGATTTTATGAAGGATTTTGGATTGTAAGGATTGGATGCGAGAGGAATTCGATGGTTTAGTGGAGCCCCATAGCTCAACTCCGTAAGTCCAAATAGGTCTTATTATAGTCAAGTATATGAGTCTTTTGTAATTAAGGGGAAGTTTAGAGCGTTTGTCTAGTAAGTGTTGGAGTAGTCGGAAACGTCGAGCGGTTTCTTGTCGTTTCAGTCTGGTATGAGGATTCCAAGTTAGACGTTTGTCCAAATGAAGTCCAAGGTATCGGATTTGTTCAACAGGGATAAGTGGGGTATTATTAAAGGATACTGTGGGACATGAGGTCATAGGTTTACGTCGAAGGGTAAAGGTGATTTGATGGGATTTATTAGAATTTATTTTAATCCTCCAGTTTTGACACCATTTTTCAAGGCTTTTGATGTGTGATTGAAGAGTTTGGGATGCAATGGTTGGGTCATTATTAACGGATAGGACACATGTATCATCGGCATACGTGGTAATAACAGTGTTAGGATGGGTTGGGATGTCAGCTGTATAAACTGTGTAAAGGATAGGACCAAGGATACTACCTTGAGGAACTCCGGCAGATTGAGAAAAGAGGGATGAGTAGGTATTATTGTGATTTACTTTGAAGTGCCTATCAGTAAGATAGGAACTGATGATAAGAAAATATGTAGGGGGAAGGAATTTACGGAGTTTGTAAAGCAATCCCGGATGCCAGACTCGATCAAACGCCTGTTCAACGTCGAGAAAAACTCCAGTGCAATACATTCCGCGCTCCAATGCAGAGGAGACTACGTCTACCACACGATGACATTGCTGGATAGTGGAATGGGATGTGCGGAATCCAAATTGGTGATCAGGGATTATGTGGTTAGAATCTAGGATGGGATACAGGCGTTTTAAGATGAGCTTCTCCAGGATTTTGCCCATGATGGGTAAAAGAGAGATAGGACGGTAAGAGGATGGGTATTCTGGTGGCTTTTTGGGTTTATGTATCATTTTGTCTACAGATAGTTTCCAAGGGTCAGGAAAATATGTGGAACGGAGTACGGCGTTATAAATGTAAGTAAGGAATAGAATGGCTTTTCAAGGAAGTAGCTTAAGAATGTGGGAAGTGATTAGGTCGTGGCCAGGAGCTTTGCGGGAGGGTAATCTTTGAATAATATTGGATATTTCTGAAGGATGAAATGCTATAGGAGGAGGAGTCATTTGAAGTGGAATATCCAGTTCTGTTTCAATACATTCAAGCTGATTTGGATTAAGGATATCAGGATGTGGATTAAAAGTTTTGAAGAGGTGATGAGCAAAAATTTGGGATTTTTCTTCATCAGATTTGGACCAAGTTTGATCTTCAGTAAGAAGTGGATGATTAAAGTCTTTGAATTTCAGGAGCCGTTTAGTCGTCGTCCACAATGATTTGTCGGTAGGTGTAAGTTTTTCAGTAAAATTTAGTAAATTTTGAATTTTATATTTTCTAATTTCTGATTTTAGTTTGTTAGTCAGTTGGGTATAATGAGTTTTATCTGTTGGATATCTAGTTCTATGCCACTTCGATCTTGCTCTGAGTTTTTCCTGTAATAAGATACGAATATGCTGTGGCAAGTTAGTCTTTTGTAAATTGTTAATCTTACTGTTAAAGGTGTTACTGTTTATACTGTCTGTTATTGATGTTGTAAGTTTATCTATGGCACCATTAATGTCTTCTTTTGTCTTGAGCGGAATTTTCAAGTCAAGTTTGTTTTCCAAGTCATCACGAAAGTTGTCCCAGTGTACTCGTCCTGTAATCAATTTAGGAGATGATGGTTTAGGAGCATAGCTTGAATGTAGTGAAAGCAGCACTGGACTATGGTCTGAAGAAAGGTCATCGAGTGATTTGATTAAGGCTTGTGAGAAGGAAATCTGGGAGGTGATAAATATATCTAGGATATCGGGACGTTTTTTGAGTGATGTTGGCCAATAAGTAGGACTCATGGCCGAGGTGAATGAATAACTGTTGGAAGATGAGATACGTGAAAGGATGTTACTGCGGGAGTTGGATGTTCGACAACCCCATCGTTGGTGTTTAGCATTGTAGTCTCCTCCAGCAATAAAGCGCGATCCGAGGGATTGAAATAAGGATTCAAGGAGGTTATAGGAGATGGAATTACCAGGAGGACAGTATACAGCTGAGAATGTGAGATGGAAAGGGCGAGTTGAAAGGACTATAGAAGTTGATTGAATGGCATCAGTTGGAGTGGAAGGAATAAGGGAGTGGGATAAAGATTTATGGATAAGGATGCAGGAACCAGCGTGGGAAGTGTTATCTGGGTGGTCAGATCTGTAAGTGATGTAGTCATGTATGTAGAAATGTGTCCGTTGAGTGAAGTGAGTTTCTGTCAGGAGGGCAATGTCAATGAGATTGTCATGGAGAAATAAGTCTAGTTCGTCTCGGTGGTTGAGTAATCCATTAGCGTTCCATAAAAGGATAGCTAGGGGCTTTGTATTCATCGGGGGAAGTTGAACGGGATTTCGGAAAGGAGTCTGGTGAGGAGGGTAATAAGCGGTTTGATAGTCTCTTGAAGATCTATCAGGAATGTTGAAAGGACAGAATTGATGTCGGAAGGTTTTTGGCTGTGAAGTGGATTTAGGTCAGGAGGATGTGATGGGTAATTTGTGCGACTAGGATTGCTGGAAGGGGGATGTGCCCGACGTGGGATGCGAGGAGTTGGATCTATATTCTGTTGGGCTTGTGATGGGATGTTTACATTGGGGTTAGGAACGGATGGAACTGGGGGTGGATGCTCTGGCGGGAGTTTGACCCTTAAGGGTAGTTGGTGAAGAGGGATTTGCGGACGAGGAGGTTGAGGCTGAGGTTTAGCAGTTTTAGGCTTGGATTGGGAAGCCTGAGGCGCCTGTCGTCGAGGCTGCTGGTTCTTGATGGTGGTTTGGAGATATAAATTTCTCGAACCCTGTTGAGGATAGTCCGTAGCTGTGGAGATGGATGGTTGAGGCTGGATGACTTGAGAAGGTGACGACGGCAGTGCTGGGAAATTTGTTCTATCATCGATTGCGGGAGCCTCAGTCCCACTTTTATGATCAAGGTTAAGGCTTTTCAAAGCCATATTATGTGATCTCAGCTTCAGAAGATTTTTATAAACTACGCAACCTCTGTAGCTCGCTGGTTGTCCCTCGCCACAAAGTGCACATATAGCAGCCTCTTGCCTTGGTTTCTGGCAAAGATCAGACGGATGTGCCCCAGCACATTTGACGCATCTGGCCTGATGATGGCAGTAGGCTTTTGTGTGTCCCAAATTTTGACAGTTAGTGCATTGCACTACTATAGGTCTTTTTCTGGGCTCTTCAAAACGGACTATTGAATATAAAAGACGTTTTACGTTAAAAATTTCCGGGTTGTTTTTTGCAGGTTTGAGATCTATGAAAAATAGCGGTAGCGGGTATTTTTCCTTAGGATGAAGCACGGTAGCTATGTTCCTTACGCTATGGCCTATTTCTTTCAATCCCATTTTGATTGCGCTTATAGAAGTAGTTGGATGAAGCCCTCTTAATACGACTCTGTATGCTTTTTCCTGTCTCAGTTGGTAACAATGGAAATCGTATTTTCGTGAAGTAAAATGTTCAATTAATATTTTGTAATTTTCTTTAGAGTTGGTATTTATTTTAATATCATTGACTCTGGAAAAACATGTAAAATTTGGCTGCCCAATCAGATCGGCGATTTCTTGTCCGAAGGACATAAAATTTTCAATTTTTGCGACGAAGATGGGTGGCGGTTCAAGATCACAAGTTTCTTTTGGCTCCAGAATCTTGTTTGTAGTATTGTTGGCTGTAACAGAGTTACTGATTGAGGTGTTTGGTGAAATTGATTCTGATTTGATGGCTGAAGTGATTTTGCTACGCGTGTTTGGTGTATTTTTGTTTGTTTCAGATGCCTTTTTTGATTTGGCCGATTTATTTTTTTTCTTATTTGGTGAGTTGCCTGCTGAACCGGGGGCAGAGTTTCGATTGCGCTTTTGAAGAGTCCTTCTTTTTAAATATTGTGAATCGGTCTCACTGACTTCGGAAAATGGTGTCTCTTCCTCCGATTCTTCACCAGACGTATTGTCAGGTTCCATAATGAGAGAAAAAAAAAAAAAAAATCTGTACCTGTTATAACACTAAAAAAAAAAAAAAAAATTACGAAATGAATTCTTAAAACTAAGCTATTTACATTATTTACAGTTAAAGTAAGAAAAAATCGTAATATACATAATTAAACCAAAGTAAAAGTCTTAGAGTAAAATAAACAAATAAAATAAAGAGAGAAGAAAAAAGAAAAGGAAAAAAAAAAAAAATACGAACTCGATATCACTCGAAGGAAGTAGTGTTAGTAAATAGAGCCTTGGCCGTGTATCTTACGTAGATAGGGCAAGACCCGTTAAGGGAATTACCGATCAGCTGTGCTGTCTCTACCGAACTAGTATCAATTAACTATTAAACATAATTGTTAATAAATATCTCTCACCTCACTATTTAATGTGAAAATGTTTAAATGTACAAAAGCTCACTGTTCACAAATTATAGCAGCAGTATTTGCAGAATTAGCCAGTTGAGAAGGAGACAAAGACAAAGCGATGCAAGCATTAAACTGTAGTTGCGGCCATTTTCGACTTTGTACACATTTAAATTGAGATTATAAATATGTAATTTTTTATAAATATGTTACTATTCTTTTTCCCAGCCCTGATGAAGGCCTGAACATCGGGCCAAAATGTCGGCCATAAATTAAATTATTTATTTTTACCATTTTAATTTGACTGATCACTCCCAACCATCCTTCTCTTCAATTATTCACTACAGTCAGTCATAAACCCACAATTAAGAGATTATAAATAAATCTGTTGAAGAATTTCTGGTTTTATTTGTTTATTGTAACCGTTTAAGTATTTTTTCTATTTTTCTATGGGGCATATTAATTTCACTGTGAGCCATTGTATACACACATTTATATATATATATTTTTTTTTTTTTTATGAACATATTTGTATAAAAAACATATAATAATTTGTATACCAACCAACTATTCAACTAACTAACAGAGCTAACAATAAATGAAATTAGTCACTAGCCTTTATCTATACGAGGAGGAGGTCTATACTTAAAGCCAGGCTGGCTCCAAAACAAAGGTACAGAACCTCTGACCTGTACAAACGACACAGTATGTGAGCTATTACTTAATATTTGTTCTGTCTCGACATAGTTGGCACAATTGCCATGCTCATCGAGCCCTCGGCGCTTATAACGTGTACCAGCTCTATGGCGTGATCGTCTCGAAACTATAGCCAGAGTCAAATTCTGAAAAATAATCCAAAAAGACTAATGAAGCTAAACTAATTAAAACAGTGAAAATGTTTTTTGTTTCAAACTAACTTGTAAAAAGAAACTACTTTGGATTAGAATTATAGTAAACTTTTGCTGGAAAATTTAAAAATATTGAAAGGTCAAAATAATTTTATTTATTACAAAAACAAAATTTTTAATTCCTTCATCAAAAGCAGATATTTCGAGAAGAAGTAAACCTCTGAAAGGCATTTTTGATATCATTGAAATAATGAAAGTCTCGATAATAAAATAGTATAATATTATAATATAATATAATATTTTACAATAAATTAATTATTCCTGAAATATACAATATTAAGAAAGATATTTGACAAGTGGAATGAAGGAGCTGAACTGCTATGATCAACTTGGTCTCATAGGAAAAATCAATTCAAAGGAATCAGTTGGTACATAGCTTGTGTTAATTTTTTTTTTTTTAAGTTCAAAAATTACTTAAGCACAATGGTTTAAAACATTGGATTAGATAAAATAATTGTTAAATCAATTCATCTTTAAAATTATAAATCTTAGTCTATTTTAATTATATTTCAAGAATTTTTCTGCAACCAGGCCATTCACCGCACAATTATCAAATATTTGGGCCTCATAGAATTAAGATTAAAAAAATATTTCTCACAGTAATTTACCAATAGCATGTCTCCCAGGAATTAATTTTTTTTTTACAATATCTAAACTAGTATGAGGGTATTTTGATTTAAGAGTACATTGTTAATGTATTCAGTATTTATACGGTATTTAATGAAGTATAAACAGATAATAATATTTAGTAATATATTTTAATAATCTATTTAACTATTCACATTTTTTTTTTATGGTAATAAAACTTCCATATTTCTTCTTCTTTAATAATAAAACAATATAATAGTTAACAATTTAGGAAATTAATCCACATCTTAAGAACTATTTTTTATCAATAGTTTTATCTACACTATACCCTTTTTTGGCTCTAAGGAGCGATGGATTTAGATGACTGAGGTGTCAAATGAAAGGAAATTTCAAGGAGAAGTCATACATTTTAATGTTGATCTTTAAATTCCTATAACGTAAATAAATCTAGAACTTCATTATAAAAAAAATTCCTGACTACTTTTATTGTAGCAACTTTTTTCACAGAAACTGTTAAAATGTAACTTTTCAAAAAGTTCCAACCTCTGCTTTTATACTCTTAGTAAGAGAGAGAACTACAAACCAGGGCTCTTCTACATCAAACGAATAGGTCTCAAGTGAGTACAATAATGGATTATTACATGTTCAGAGATAGCTATGCCTTCTTAATGTCTAATTGTTTAACTGGAGGGATATATTCCAGTGGGACAAGTTAATCACTTATTAAAAGAATTGTTACTTTAGCAGTCGTGGTAAAGTATAAAGCTTCGCTAATTGTGTGTGTTGAATAGACTATCTTGATCATATTTATATACAAACAAATAAATAAATATGTTTTGCGAATTTCACCTATAAGTCAAACAAAGTAGGGAGATGGATAGCTATTCAAAGTAAGAGTACTTTCTGAGGTTTAGTCACTTAAATATATAAATAAGGAGATCAATGTGATGAAAATATGGTTAAAATTGTAATCTTTTAATTGAGAATCTATACCCTAAAACGTTAACTATAATAATGAATTGATTTTAACAAATTAAGAATAATTAAAGAAGTTTTATTGCCATAAATTTCATCGACTACTTAATAATGTTTTTTAATTTAAAAGATGATTCTAAATGACTCATGAGATAAAACCTTAAACTAAACCAAGACAAGTGCTAATTCTGAAACGAGGCAGGAGGGCCACAATGAAACTTAAGCCATCAACTCATTTCTAGCCTAATAATAAGTTTTAAAATTTTATAGAGATAAATAATTACCTCACAATGACTGGCTCCAAAAGTGGTCATATCACGATGGATAGCACAATGCTCAATCTGAACATAGCCCTGTATGATTGGTAGAATCCATGCTTTTGCAAGTTCATTCTGTAAAAGAAAACTTGATTAGTACTCAATGAATAGATTAGAACTCTTTTTCACTCACTATAGATCCAATTGATTTATCAACAACTACCTACAATGCAAAAATAAACAATAATTTTGTAAAGCAAATAACTTTACTTCTTTTTCCTGATTATATATAAAAATAAATTTTCTCTTTTGCTTTCAAGGAATTGCTATCAAGAAGAGTCAGAGCTTCCATTAGTGATTTCTGCCCTACAGCCATAGAAATCTAAGAAGGCCTACATGTCATTAGTGACGTTTTGATACATTCGATAACATGCTTGGTTTTGACACAATAACGAAAGAAAGTTATCGATATCTACATAATAAAAGATATGGATACCAATAGTATCATTCATTAGAGACATTAAATTTTGGGTACTTGCTTATTTGGTTTCTGGATCCATGAAGATTGTTTGTAGCAATTAAATAGCGTTATAAGCCTGTAATTACATTACTAACACTAAATTTAAATTACAATTGGACAAAATAAACTGGCTAAGAACTAAAATCTCTAGAAATCCTAAACATAAATTTAAAAAAAAAATTACGGTCACTTCAACCCAATCCAATTCTAGCCAACTTAATCTTCTTTTCAGTAAGGAGTTTCAAACAGTTTGAAAAATTATTCTTTTACTGTTCAATATTACAAAATTAATTTTGAATAAAGATTATAATGACACAGTACTACAATTATACTACTCAATATTAGATAAATACCTGTTACTACGTAAAAATTAAAAGTTAATATTTACATTTATTTCATAAATATCCTTCAACATATGTTTATTCCAAAAAAATCTATCATCCGTTGATGATCCTGGTTGATGAAATGTCTGCAATGAATTGGTAAGGTCACAAGTTCTACTTCCAGGAGCTCCAAGACAAAAATAAAATGAGTCAGTTTCTGTAAATAGCCGTGAGAGTTCTTCTATAATTCTCTTTTCAAATTTCTCTCGGTCCTTGCCTTCTTTTCTTGAACTTCCTTTAACCTTAAAAATATCATAAATTTGTTAAATATACATTACACCAGGTGGGTAAATAAGAAACTGGAACTATCATAGAGAAAATACACATTTATTGCATAAACATGTTAAAAAATATTTTATTCGAAATATTGTATATCGCTAGCATACATTTTCCTATTTTTTTTTGGCAGTTTATGAATTCCATGCCAGAAAAACTTAGGCTCTTTTTTTGTGAGCTAGTTATCAAGCCATTTTCATATGAAGTGAAGTATTATAGAGCAAGTGTGGGCCCCATCAATCCAAATAAATAGGAGTTAGATGGGGGAAAGTCTGGTGAGTAAAAGCTGCAAGCACTAATATTTCCCTCAGTGGTTTTGATCTATGTGATGGTGCGTTATCATGAAGCAAAATCACTCTGTGTTTTTTTGTTTTTTTTATTACCAATCGTTTAACATTCAACACTTGATTCAAATTAATAATCTGTAGTTAATAGCCTTCAGTATTAATGGTTTTGCTAAATTTTAGCAGTTTATTCACTGTCTTCAAACTTTTTCATCGAAAATACTACTTTTTTATTTTTTAAACAGCTCAAAGCACTGTGATATGCCAAGAGCATGCTAATGGTGAACTTCAACAAGGATTTGATGCAATGCTGCATAAGTTTTCTTCAAATGGTAACAGAAAACTAATGCTGTCTGCAAATCGTAGTTTAAAGGCACAAAACTCGACATGTTAAACACTATTAAAACAATGCTGTTACATGAAACTTGTATTGCTGAGTTGAAAATTGTTGCAACCCGTCGAAGAAACAAAATGTGACTTAACAGTAACTACATTAACAACCAGAGCTTTTTATGGACAAATTCTAGTTTCATATTTACATTTTTGGTAAATAATTTATAGCCAAATATTGAACAAAAAATTAATCAACATTTCATATCAGTAAAGAGAATAATAGTATAAATTATTTTCGTGAATACCAAAAGATTAACATAATAATAAAAATAAGGTTAAGCAAACTTGGGAGGTTTGATTTTAATAATAAAAAATCTATAGTACTCCAATCCATGAAGGGTGTTTCTTGTTCAACGGTTCCACGAAGAGATGATTAAACTGAAATCACACACAACTGCCAGTGAGGTTCTAACTCTTAAATAATTAATTAATTAACTTTATAGATACTAGAATTACCCCATGAGGGTATAGACCTTATGGTTGATCCACGTTAGTGAATCAGAATTACAGTCCAAGCTGGATTCGAACATGGGATTCTTGGAACAAAGCACCTTATTCACTGAGCTACTCCCCTCCACATAAATAATAATAATAATAATAGTAATAAACTATACACCAATAAACCTCCATCTATAAGGGGAGGGGTACAGCATTGCCTGTTGCATAGCAACCTGATAACAGAAGTTAAAAGGAATAAAAATCAGTATGAATTTGTGCCCCGGTGCCAGTGGAGTTTTTAACTCTTAGCATTAATCCCTCACCCTCACCCTCACCCTCTGACCAAGGAAAACCCCGTATAGCTTAAACGGCGAGGAAGAGAGGACAGGAAAAACGAAAATAACTCCGTCTATATAATCCATCAAAACAGAAATGCATATCAGAAATAATTTTATATTCTTAGAAATGTTTTGCTCTTCTCATAGTCTCAACGAGTTAATTCAACATGAATAATAATTTCAATGATCTACACAAAAAAAAAAATAATATGCTAATTCTATTACAGTTATACTATAACATGCATTATTGTGAAAAAAATCTTATTACCAGAAGCATATTAAGAATGATAACATAACAAAACTTCATTTTTATAATAGCCCCTAATATGATACTGAGTAAAAATCACTTTACAACACAATGATAGGTTCACTTATTATGCAATATACTTTAGTTTCATTAAACAAAAGAAAAAAAAATGCACAGATTATTTCAAAGAATTTTGGAAAAAATTTAAAACACTGATACTTAGATTCATTCATGTAAACAAACCAGAGGTTAAAAACCTGTATGGAACTTTTTAAAAAATAGTTTTTAATGTTTTTTTTTTGTTTTGTTTTTTTGTTATTTATTAATGGTTTTTACGAAACATATTAGGAAAAAAGTTCTTAAAATAAAAGTTCTGAGAAACTTTTTTGTAATAACGCTCCAGGTAAATGATAAAAGTTCAACTTTTATTTATTCAAGTTATTAAAAAAAGTTATGTTGAATGAGAAATAAACGGTAATTGGGCTTAAATTAGAATTGCAATTTATCTTAAACAAATTAGTTGTTTGTTTCAGTTGCTAAGAATAAAAGTTTAGATAGACTTTTTTTTTTTTTTATTTAAAAGTTCTGTAAAATATTTATTTGAAAAGTTACAAGAGAAAAATTTCTAGTTCCAAAAGGATTGAAAACTATCAACAATAAAAATTCCAATGATACTGAAACTTTTTAAAATATTAAAGTTTCTTTTCTGTTTCAAGCTCTGAAAAAACACTCATTTTGGGTCAGTGATTATGATTTAATTATAAAAAATATTTAAGATATCACAGACAAAAAATAGGAAAAAAATGTGTACTTTATATAGCTGAATTCCTCCTTCATACTCCAAATTGACAACAATTCTTATTCCAATAAAATGACAGTTCAACAATAGAGGGTTTCTTTAATTTAGCTCTATGTGAGCTCAACTGTATTCTTTTTTTTTTTTTTTTTTTTCTTTTTTTTAATGGGGTTTGATCTGTTTTAAACAATTCTGGGAGAAATTGAAGTAAATATGAATTTGCCATAGAAAACTGCATTTTACTGTAATCAATGAAGATTTGCCAATTTTTAATGAATGAGTAAACAGAATTGGTATACTCTAGATAAATACTAAGTTATTGAGGTCTGTTTAAGTAGGAATAAATATTTTTAAACTATAAACTAAAAATTAAAATCACATTCAGAGAGAAATATCTGAAGGATAAATGTTATTCGACTATGCTAAACTAATACATTTTTTTTTTCTTCATGCCAAAAGTAAATCTTACTTAAGTAAAATATCCAGATTAATGAGATTTTTTACCAATTATCTTTGATTATTATTAAAGGAAGGAGATGGTCTGGGGTGGTGGTCATAAATAGGCTAAATAGTGGAAAAACTATTTTATTAAAAGCCAACGTTTCGACACGACTTTGCAGTTCTTCAGGGAGGTGTGTTCAGCTAGGAGTTTCATTTAGAACTGAATGAGTTCTAATTGAAACTCCTAGCTGAACATACCTTCCTGAAGAAGACCTGTAAGTCGGGTCGAAATGTTGGCTTTTAATAAAATAGTTTTGCCACTGTTTAGCATATTTATGACCACCACCCCGGACCATCTCCTTCCTATATAATGCAACAGTCAACTATTAAATATTCAATTTGAATATTATTGTGCTTATTATTATTTAATAATAAAGCATATTAAGAATATAATATAATGTAAAATAAAATAAATGTAAAATAATTGTATATAAATTAAAAACTACCAAAACTTCATATTTACTTTAATTTTTAAGAGCATAGCGTTACTTAAAAAGGTCCTTTTAAATAAAAACTTATTTTGGGAAAGATATACCTGATAAGAAGCCAGAGCTGCGGCTTGTTGCGTGGTCGATTTCAAAGAATTGGCTGCTGACTTCATAGTGCCCCATGTTTTAGCAAAAGGAGCTTTTTGTGAAAGTTCGAACATATTACATCCTCCAGCTCTATGTTTTTTACAAGATTTAAGTCCAATTTCAGCAGCACTGACATCGGGACCACAGGGGTAAAGAAAGGCAATAGATCGAATTTTGATAACTGTTCTACCATCAGGCAAGTCTCCTACTACTTCAGTTTCTTTTATTAACAATAATCTTGTTTCTGACTCAGCTTGAAAACTTATCTTACCGACCAAACCAAAAAACACGCCAAGGCATTCAACATCTCCTGAATTAGCTAACTCCCAACCTAAAAAATTGTTAAAATTTTCTTTGTTTTATATAAATTATAATTTGAGATATATTATGAAATAAATACAATTTTTGAGGATTGAAAAAAAAGAAGGAAATTTTCTTTTCAGCACTTCATAAACCTTATAAGTTATAATTAAAAAATAATAATAATGAAAGTATATCCAGATAGAATGGAAGCTAAACTTCCAATGTAGTTATACTTGTTGTGCATATGTGGCTTTTGTGCTCTCACTCTGTCTCCACTGTCTTTCAACAACAGTGACTTGGGTGAGAGAGCACTGAGATCTCTTTGAGCTTTGCTTTGCTTCTCACATGAAAGTGACAAAACATGGTTCAGAGTTCCCCGGGCTGAATGTAAATAGATATAAATGTGTGACAAGTATTTTTTGTTTCTATAATTCTTTTAGTGATTTTTTTTTCTTTTTACAAGTACTTTTTCTTTCTATTATTAATGTATTATGTATTTGTCTTCTTTAAAGAGTCTGGATGAAATCAGATGGAGAAGGGTGGCTCAAGAACGATTGATTTGAAGGAAGAAAGTTGAGGAGGCCAAGGTGCTACAAGAACCATAGCACGATCAGGCAATGATGATGATATTTGTGATGAACGTCTTGATATTCATCATTATCATTCCAAGTTCAACAATTCAGGATCTTGGCTGCCTTAAGAGTTACCCTCCACGTTTTCTTGTCTTGAGTAGACGTTCACGACTCAGGCATCGGCACTTTCCATCAATCCATCTCAACTTCAGTCTACCCACTTTTCTTTGTCCACCCAGCTCTATGCTGAGCAATTTCTTTGAGGTCTCGTTCATCCATACAATGTGGATCGCCGTTCTTGATATTATCTATTTATATATTTTTCATCTTGTATAATTTCATTTTTTTCAGTTTGTATTTTAGTTAATATATAAATAGTATGAATGTATAAATATAGCTATAATACAGAAGTCCTTGATTGTGGCATATTGTATTAATATTCATCCAATAAAAATATAAATGAAAGTTATGCTTATAGTTCTACATAAAAAACTTCTGATTATCTTTGCAACCTAAAGTTAAGATTAAATTAATATAGAACAATAATTGAGTCACTAGTTCTTTGTATTCTGATAAAAATATTGCCTTATAATTCAGAGTAAACAGGTTTTTATTACTCTTTAAAAAACTTTCAAAAACAGGAATCTTTAAAAAAAAAATAAACAGTAAAGCTTTTCATCCTAACATACACCTAATTGTTAAGAGAGAGAGAGATGACTAACAGCTGTTCGTCGTTTTGAAACGATTTGAGAACTTTGGTAATTATTTTGTAGATTCTATAACTACTTAATATCTGATCCTAAAACGTTTAGAGTATCTTTCCTTTAAATTTAATACCAATTCTTTGTAAAATGTTGAAAATAAAAATAATTTGTTACTAAAATATTGTGTTGAGTTCCATACCAATTACTTAATAATCTTTAATATATTTGTATTATTTTAATACTTCTTGAGATATGAAAAAAATATAAACTAACTAACAAATTATAGCAATAATAATTGAAACACTCATTATTTTCTACTCATAAAATAAAAACCTTGTAACTTGAGGATGTACAATAAATTAAAGGGATTTGCATACATAATTATTATTTTCTCCCTTTAACAAAAATAAATAAATAAAAAATATATTGTAAACACTTCTAATTAACAATTTAAAAATTGTTAAAAACCAGTGCCTGTTTTTGATAAAAAGTGATACATTCTTTATTTAAAGTAAATTGATTTTCATATTGTATGTAAAATTAAACAATGTTCAATATTACCACTATTCAATATTTTTAATATTAATATTAAAAATATTGAATAGGTGATTGGAAAATATTATACACTATAAATCTGATAAGTTAGAGATCTTCTCCATAGAGGAGTAATAACATATGATAACAGCAAATTTATACTTTCAATTTAAAAATAAATTAGGAAATCAATTGAGAAATTGAATATCAACTATTAGTTACAAATTTTATTTATTTAAGTTCTTCCCTTTGGAGTTCCAGGATAATAATACATACGTTTAAAAGTATTTAAACTATTAAAAAATTTTGATAAATGAAAACATAAACAAAACATTAACAGCTATTAGCAAATCTTTACATGTAAAACCTAATCAATAGCTTTGATATATGTTTTAATTCTTACCAGGCCTAACAGAAATATCTCCAGTTTTTCGATTACACCATAAACTGGATTCACTATTCATCAAAACATAAAAATCTTCTGTTCTAAAAACTTCCATTTCTGGAATAATGGTTTTTGGGTCAGTCATTGGAGAATGTGTATTTTACAGAAACAACAAAATAACGATAGCTAAAACTATAATAATATTCGTAATTTTACGCCATTATAATATAAGAAATTCGTTTGTTTCGAAGTAAATAAATTCGAAAGATAACTAAACAAGTTAATCATGTTCAACCAAGTAAGAACTGTCAGCTCGTGTTTGACAGCCAGTGTTGTCCAAAACAGTTTGAGTAGATCAAGCCAATAAATCATGTTTTTTTTTTCAGATTTAGCCAAACAGAACTTTTACAAAATATCTGTCCAGAAAAGTTCGTTTCTAAATTCTTATTTTTATTTGTAAAAAAAAAAAAAAAAAATTAATTTGTTTCATTTATGCTTACCTGATGAAATCGAATAACTTTTAAAATTAATTAAACTACTAAATTTATTTCGTATGTTATTATTTAGTCCTTTGAATATTTATAATTATTTCCAAAATTTAATTTATCAAAATTACAAGAGCGAGAAAAAAGGAGAATTAGTGAAGAAAAAAAATGCTTAAATGGCACTTCTACAGTACCAAATCAATTCACTTACAAAATTTCAACTTCCTAAAACAATTTGGAAGGGCCGTAGAAGTGCAACAGAATGAGGGATAAGAAAAATTTATTGAGAGTTCTAAAATACCGAATACCGAGGCTGCTGAATTTACTCGCATATAAAAATATTAATTTTTAATATATCATATTAATATAATATATAACGCTACTATTAGTATAAAAGGTCATATCTAAAAATTTAGTATTTTTTACAGAAGAGCTTAAAAGCTGATTATTTCTTTATGATTTATTAGTATGATTTCATATTTTATTTCCTCTGCCATTTTCCATAGCAGACTACTTATTGCAGTTGCATGCTAATATCAATCATAAAAATATCACCTTTAGCACAAATAGAATAAACAGGTAAATTTGTTACATACGACATTTTGCATCAACAATAGCGATAATACATATATGTGGAGCGCGCATATGGGTGAGCGCACATACGAAGTGACCTTGTCTCATGCTATTTTTGTGGAATTAAATTAAAAATGAGCAATATTGAAGAAACAAAACTTTAAAGCGGCAATAAATAGTCGATCCCTTAGGGACCAATCTGGTAGTGTTCTTTCCATCAATTCACTTGAGCTCGAAGAAATGGACAAATCAACCAAGATCAGAGGTGCCAAGAATAGGGTTTCATGGCGCCCGTTGCGCCATTAAATATTTTGTGATTGGCAATTTTCGGAGTAAAAAGTTTCAAACCAGAGAAAAACGGGGAAAACATGTTTCAAAACACAGCAAGTGTAATTGAAAATGATCTAAGATTTTTCTAATGCTTGCTGGTTAATGTTTTTCGCTTGCATTGTTTTTAAAAAGAGGAGAGAAATACAATTTCTTGAGGAGGGAAATCATGCGCCATCGATCTTTGGGAATTGGGTTACCTCTGGGCTAGATCCATGGGTTACGACTGCCCAGAGTCAGCATACGCACGAAAACCTATATTTCTTTCTCGGAAAAAAGCTGTCTAAGGACCACAGGCGGATCTACGGGGGGGAGGGGGCTTTCGGGCTGAAGCCCCCCCCCCAAAATGGTAAAATATAACCACGTTTTATCGATAAAAATATAAGCAAAGTATCTCTTAAAGTATTATTTTTCGTGTGATTAATATTAAAAGGGCTTTAGGAATCACTTAAACACCATTTCATACAGGTTGTTAGTTTCTTTCTTTTTTTCTAAAGCAATTATCGTTATTTTTATGAAAAAAAAGCTTTCGGGCTGAAGCCCCCCAAAATTAAATCCTGGATCCGCTAGTGCTAAGGACCAAACTTTTGGAAGGCTAGTAGCTTTACTACAACTAGTTGTAGTTTAGAAGTGTAATTGAAAATGATCTAAGATTTTTCTAATGCTTGCTGGTTAATGTTTTTCGCTTGCATTGTTTTTAAAAAGAGGAGAGAAATACAATTTCTTGAGGAGGGAAATCATGCGCCATCGATCTTTGGGAATTGGGTTACCTCTGGGCTAGATCCATGGGTTACGACTGCCCAGAGTCAGCATACGCACGAAAACCTATATTTCTTTCTCGGAAAAAAGCTGTCTAAGGACCACAGGCGGATCTACGGGGGGGAGGGGGCTTTCGGGCTGAAGCCCCCCCCCCCAAAATGGTAAAATATAACCACGTTTTATCGATAAAAATATAAGCAAAGTATCTCTTAAAGTATTATTTTTCGTGTGATTAATATTAAAAGGGCTTTAGGAATCACTTAAACACCATTTCATACAGGTTGTTAGTTTCTTTCTTTTTTTCTAAAGCAATTATCGTTATTTTTATGAAAAAAAAGCTTTCGGGCTGAAGCCCCCCAAAATTAAATCCTGGATCCGCTAGTGCTAAGGACCAAACTTTTGGAAGGCTAGTAGCTTTACTACAACTAGTTGTAGTTTAGAAGTGTAATTGAAAATGATCTAAGATTTTTCTAATGCTTGCTGGTTAATGTTTTTCGCTTGCATTGTTTTTAAAAAGAGGAGAGAAATACAATTTCTTGAGGAGGGAAATCATGCGCCATCGATCTTTGGGAATTGGGTTACCTCTGGGCTAGATCCATGGGTTACGACTGCCCAGAGTCAGCATACGCACGAAAACCTATATTTCTTTCTCGGAAAAAAGCTGTCTAAGGACCACAGGCGGATCTACGGGGGGGAGGGGGCTTTCGGGCTGAAGCCCCCCCCCCAAAATGGTAAAATATAACCACGTTTTATCGATAAAAATATAAGCAAAGTATCTCTTAAAGTATTATTTTTCGTGTGATTAATATTAAAAGGGCTTTAGGAATCACTTAAACACCATTTCATACAGGTTGTTAGTTTCTTTCTTTTTTTCTAAAGCAATTATCGTTATTTTTATGAAAAAAAAGCTTTCGGGCTGAAGCCCCCCAAAATTAAATCCTGGATCCGCTAGTGCTAAGGACCAAACTTTTGGAAGGCTAGTAGCTTTACTACAACTAGTTGTAGTTTAGAAGTGTAATTGAAAATGATCTAAGATTTTTCTAATGCTTGCTGGTTAATGTTTTTCGCTTGCATTGTTTTTAAAAAGAGGAGAGAAATACAATTTCTTGAGGAGGGAAATCATGCGCCATCGATCTTTGGGAATTGGGTTACCTCTGGGCTAGATCCATGGGTTACGACTGCCCAGAGTCAGCATACGCACGAAAACCTATATTTCTTTCTCGGAAAAAAGCTGTCTAAGGACCACAGGCGGATCTACGGGGGGGAGGGGGCTTTCGGGCTGAAGCCCCCCCCCCCAAAATGGTAAAATATAACCACGTTTTATCGATAAAAATATAAGCAAAGTATCTCTTAAAGTATTATTTTTCGTGTGATTAATATTAAAAGGGCTTTAGGAATCACTTAAACACCATTTCATACAGGTTGTTAGTTTCTTTCTTTTTTTCTAAAGCAATTATCGTTATTTTTATGAAAAAAAAGCTTTCGGGCTGAAGCCCCCCAAAATTAAATCCTGGATCCGCTAGTGCTAAGGACCAAACTTTTGGAAGGCTAGTAGCTTTACTACAACTAGTTGTAGTTTAGAAGTGTAATTGAAAATGATCTAAGATTTTTCTAATGCTTGCTGGTTAATGTTTTTCGCTTGCATTGTTTTTAAAAAGAGGAGAGAAATACAATTTCTTGAGGAGGGAAATCATGCGCCATCGATCTTTGGGAATTGGGTTACCTCTGGGCTAGATCCATGGGTTACGACTGCCCAGAGTCAGCATACGCACGAAAACCTATATTTCTTTCTCGGAAAAAAGCTGTCTAAGGACCACAGGCGGATCTACGGGGGGGAGGGGGCTTTCGGGCTGAAGCCCCCCCCCCCAAAATGGTAAAATATAACCACGTTTTATCGATAAAAATATAAGCAAAGTATCTCTTAAAGTATTATTTTTCGTGTGATTAATATTAAAAGGGCTTTAGGAATCACTTAAACACCATTTCATACAGGTTGTTAGTTTCTTTCTTTTTTTCTAAAGCAATTATCGTTATTTTTATGAAAAAAAAGCTTTCGGGCTGAAGCCCCCCAAAATTAAATCCTGGATCCGCTAGTGCTAAGGACCAAACTTTTGGAAGGCTAGTAGCTTTACTACAACTAGTTGTAGTTTAGAAGTGTAATTGAAAATGATCTAAGATTTTTCTAATGCTTGCTGGTTAATGTTTTTCGCTTGCATTGTTTTTAAAAAGAGGAGAGAAATACAATTTCTTGAGGAGGGAAATCATGCGCCATCGATCTTTGGGAATTGGGTTACCTCTGGGCTAGATCCATGGGTTACGACTGCCCAGAGTCAGCATACGCACGAAAACCTATATTTCTTTCTCGGAAAAAAGCTGTCTAAGGACCACAGGCGGATCTACGGGGGGGAGGGGGCTTTCGGGCTGAAGCCCCCCCCCCAAAATGGTAAAATATAACCACGTTTTATCGATAAAAATATAAGCAAAGTATCTCTTAAAGTATTATTTTTCGTGTGATTAATATTAAAAGGGCTTTAGGAATCACTTAAACACCATTTCATACAGGTTGTTAGTTTCTTTCTTTTTTTCTAAAGCAATTATCGTTATTTTTATGAAAAAAAAGCTTTCGGGCTGAAGCCCCCCAAAATTAAATCCTGGATCCGCTAGTGCTAAGGACCAAACTTTTGGAAGGCTAGTAGCTTTACTACAACTAGTTGTAGTTTAGAAGTGTAATTGAAAATGATCTAAGATTTTTCTAATGCTTGCTGGTTAATGTTTTTCGCTTGCATTGTTTTTAAAAAGAGGAGAGAAATACAATTTCTTGAGGAGGGAAATCATGCGCCATCGATCTTTGGGAATTGGGTTACCTCTGGGCTAGATCCATGGGTTACGACTGCCCAGAGTCAGCATACGCACGAAAACCTATATTTCTTTCTCGGAAAAAAGCTGTCTAAGGACCACAGGCGGATCTACGGGGGGGAGGGGGCTTTCGGGCTGAAGCCCCCCCCCCAAAATGGTAAAATATAACCACGTTTTATCGATAAAAATATAAGCAAAGTATCTCTTAAAGTATTATTTTTCGTGTGATTAATATTAAAAGGGCTTTAGGAATCACTTAAACACCATTTCATACAGGTTGTTAGTTTCTTTCTTTTTTTCTAAAGCAATTATCGTTATTTTTATGAAAAAAAAGCTTTCGGGCTGAAGCCCCCCAAAATTAAATCCTGGATCCGCTAATGCTAAGGACCAAACTTTTGGAAGGCTAGTAGCTTTACTACAACTAGTTGTAGTTTAGAAGCTACTTGGACATCAGCTGATTTCCTGGGAACCATATCGCAATTCTCGATTAAAGTATATCGGGTAGAGTTATCACTCCTGCTTAGTGATGGGCAAAACTGTTTATTATGAGTAGTAAATGGTACAGTTTCTGTTAGTTTCAAAAACTGATACAACTGTTGCAAAACTTGATGAGCTAAAAAATAAGATGTCTTAACAAAAGATGTCTTTTGTACTTTTTTCATTATTTAAAAAAAAATTATCTTCTTACTGTAAAATAATAATAAATAATTAGCTTTCAACAAATATCATTTTTATCTCTAAAATAATTATCAATTTAATCGTTAATTTTTTTACTATACTTTCAAAATATATCAACTGTGAGACAAAAAAAAATTACTATTATAACTTCTGTATCTATAACAGCTGATAAAAATCAAACTAGCATTCAAATTTTAATTCTGAAACATATAATATTTTTAAAGCAATAAATATATTTATTGATGGAAATAATGATTAACAAATAGTAATTAAATAGAAAAATGAGTTGTTAAAACAGTTCATGGAATAGTAAACTACATAGCAGTTTATTGGATACAATACTGTGATGGCCGGTGTTTCATAGAAACATCTTTTAAAACAGTTTAAACTTTAAAGTAAATTAGAGCTGCTGGCGGCAGCTGTGTCTGGATCTGTCGCAAAGGGTTGTATTTATTTTGGAGTGCTGTATCTGTTTCCTTCCATTGACTTGTATCCGTTAAATTTCTAGTGAAGCAGTTTAATTATCTGTTTAACGAAAGACGCTTTTAAAATTAAACAGATTGCTACTAAAAACCCCATCACTAACTCCTATACCAGTCGGTGTGAGTTTTCTGACGGGCCTCACATACCCGGAGAGATCTTTGGCAGTGTGGATTTCCCCGGTGGACAGTTGCTCATCCAAGTATTATTCACGCTCGATTCAACTAAACTTTGATTTCCTATTGCAAGAGCAATAGACCGCTTGGCACACACAAACATACATCGTGTGGATGGACTTTCTTCCTATTATACGCATGTGTTTACTCCGTTTAAAAAAAAAACTCTCTGGACATAACTCTTTACATATATAGGGTTCTTTATGATTGTCCTAAGTAAATAATGTATAATGTGGTTCATTTAAATTTTAAATTTAATAAAGTCAAATCTGGTCATTGCAGGTCATAGTAAGGAACATTATTTGATTTATGTCATATTGAAGATAATGACTTAAAATTTAGCCATTTATTACTAACTATACCTTCGAATTTATTTATAAACGCAGGAACATTAAAAATATGACACATATTTTATTCGATAATGTGCTTGATATTAGTGAAATCTTTACTTGGGGGCCGGACTTTCGGACGCAGTATTCCAGCACACATTATTCCTTTATTCTTGATATTTTTTTATTCAAGCGAGCCAGAAAGAAGTCATCTCATCGGTTTCCTATTTGTGTCTTGACCATCTTTTCGATACTCTTGTCTGTTCTGAAACGCATTTTTTTTCAATCCTATACATTAAACCATTTTAATGCTGGATTTAAATGACTAATTATGTTAACCTATTATAGGAACTAGAATAGACTATAACATCCATTCTAAAATTTAACCTTATATATATACATATATTGTACAAGAAACAGTTGACAGTGAATTTAAAAAAAAGAGATTGTATATTTTTAATCTTCCGTTACCACATTCTAAACAAGAAACAAAGAAGAAAATCGACAAGACAGGTCTTTATGACAAAACTAATGCTTAACATAGTATTTTTTTTTTATAAAACGTTTTGCACTCTTTAATATTAATGAAACCAAGTTTACGAAGGAAAGTCGTTATCTCAGACAAGTTTTGGAAATTTAATTACTGTCTAAGCTTTAATCATTACAATGATTTTGTTATAGATGTACTTACATGAAGAACCTCTTTGGTCCAACACGAATGAACACACGTCTCGTATTGTTAACATTGTGATACTCTTTATCACGGGGTTAGAAAGTTGAGTTAAATGATTCTGTAATATTAAATTGAAATATGATTGAATTTTGTTCAAAGAAACGTATGTTAGCTGGAATTATTTGTCTAGGCGGGCAAGTATTTGCGTATTAGCTATTATAAAGTTTTAAACTTAAAAAATTTGTTTGATCTACTATTGATAATTATTACATTTCTTTAAAAATCTATTTTTCCTTTAAGGTTGACCCTTATCGTGCTTATTTTTGAAAGCCAATGGGCATTTGAGACTAGTGCTTACAATCACCTAGGGAATCATAGCTCATTAAAACTCAATTCATCCTCTGATTATTGTTGGTTGAAAGAGGAGCATTCGGTTATAGAGCCTTGTCACCCATGTTCAGGTAAAACCTGAAACATTGGTTGTATTTAAGTGCCAGTTTTATAGTGTTGGAAAGATAGGCATTTTTTTTGTTTTTGTTATACATTGTATCCATTTTAGATTTTGAGATTGCAAGTGGTAGTAATAAAGCCTGTGTTCGCACTCATTTCAAGGAAACAGTCCGGTGTCACAAATCAGGAAAAAAGGAATACAGAGGGTGAACTATTAAGTTCTTCTGATTTGATTTATTTTTCTTTTGATATATTGTGATAATTTGTGTTGTTTAGGTGTGACCGTGTTGAATGGTTAGAAGAGAAAAGATTTTGGCAATTTGAAGGATTTGTTTTAGTTTTAGCTATTACTTCAACTGCCTGTGTGTTTCTTAGACAACGTGTTCTTGACCACAGACACTTGAAAAGTCTCCAGCGAAGGCTTGCTAGCTCTGTTTAATTTACAATCTCCAGATATATTAAGTAAGTATTTTACTAATGCTAGTTATAATAAATTTAGTGCTGTTTTTGAATCACTACTCCAACATCACTTTGAGCACATTTTGGATGGAATCTTTAAACAACCCGATTATTTCCGTAAGTGAATCAGGGGACCAATTTCCAACATTTTATAGCAGATTTCTTAATTTGATTAGGTAAAATAAGCTTAAATCTTTATCAGATCCACATATTTTTAAAAATATATCACTGCGTAATGGAATGTATTGAAATTGTTAACTTTTCGTCAAAAATTACATTTCTTACTAGAAAATCAACAGGACAATAATGTTTTGGACTAATGGTAATCAAAATCCTCTGGATTATTACACACAATATATACTATAAGGTATCTATGACCACTGAAAATTAAACACGGATAATTTCCATTTATTTTTTCTGATTACATTTGTGATCTCAATAACTGAACAAACATATGATTCACTACCAAAAAGATTAAATACTAAATCGATATAACATCAATTTAGTATTTAACTGATGGCTAATATACTACATTTACTTTCAATACTAAAAGCAAAATAATAGTGTTAAAGGAAAGTTAGTTTAAGTGTTCTGTCAAAAAATAAAAATAAATAAATTATGTTTATTTTTATTATGACTGATTTATTTATTTATTATGACCATAAGTATAATTTGTTAATTTTTACTTTGTTACTTTTTGGCTGAATATCCCAACAGTTTCTTTTCAATATATCTACGACAGACAATTAATCCACTATCATAAAATAATAGTGGTAAAATCGAAATACTTCTTCAATCAGAATTGGATTTATATTTCTCTTTATCCGCATCATGTAATTAATAATGTAATAATGATTTCATGTATTATCTATTATTCTTATCCTGCCATCATAAAAAAAAAAAGTAAATCGCTTTCTGTGCATTTTTGTTCAAAATGTTTCATTAGACATCTGTCATTTTCTGTTAAGATGAGTGTCAATACTTGGCTACTTTCAATATTTTCCATTTACAATGGTCTTGAAACAAATTCCCATCTTGGAGTTGTGATTCGGAACTAATACGTAAATTTAATATCCTACATGTTTCTAAGAAAGATTAAACTGCAACGAATATTAAAAAACTAAAGTTTTATTGTAATGTAGATGGCTAAATAACAGATATACCAGAATGGTACTAATTATAAAAATATGTTTAATCTTTCTAAATAAATGTTTATATTTATGTACTATCTTGCCTAAATATTCTGTTTTATAAATATAGTTGTTCATAATATTCTAAAATCATTTTTTTACAGTTTATCATGACATCCCTGTACATTGAAGGAGAGTTACAAGAGGACGGAAAGCTACTAGTTAGCTTAGAATCGGCAACATGCCTTGCCCTTGTGTGTTTCATCAGTCCCCCACTGACTGTTTTTGTCATTCCCATCCACAAGGACTCGGACAACTCTCTCGACATATTATTCACATCTCCCCCAGAATTGACTTTGTCATTTCTTGATAGTCTTCCTCTACCTGCTGCTCTCTGCCGACCCCCTGTTATCAGTTTGGATGACGGCATTTCCAGTGTAGCTGGATTGTCTGCTGTTCTTCGAAAGGTATTAATATTTGCTATTTTTTACTAATCAAAACTTTAGTCTGTATTACTTCATATACATACCATATCTCTTCCACTGCTTGTTAATCTCGATGATAATAAACTTTAAAATTGAAAAAATGGTCAGGTATTGCAATCAAAAATTTCTTTTTTGAGTTAGCCAATGTTTAGACCCAAACATAGGCTAAAAGTTAAAAAATAAAGCTAATAGTTAAAAAACTTTAAATAGGTAACAAAAATTTTTAAAAAAATTTCTTCTTTTTTTTCTTCTCTTATAATTTTATATTTATCATTTTTCTGATTTTATTAATATTAATACTATTATATTTTTACTGTTATCCTTCCTTAACTCTTATTACTCTTATACTTTTGTATTTATCGTTTTTCTGATGTTATTTTATACTTTTTAACTTTGGGCCCTGATGATGACCCACATGATTGGGTAGAAACGTCTGCTAACTCATTTTAAGAATTTTTTTACTGCGAATGCTGACAATTTTTTCATACTTATAATTTTAGCAGTCAACTACTTACCCATCTCTATAATAATAATAATCAAAGTACATAATGTAGTAGTATAGATCCCTCATTTGCTTCTCATGAGTGATAGATTTTGATAAATTAAGTATCAATAAAAAAGAAATTTCATGGAGAAGTGACAAGTGTCAATTTCTTAACCTAAAATCTTACTGTAATTATAATAAACATCATCGAAAAAATTGGGAGATTACAAAACTGAAATGGTTTCAAAAGTCGTCAAATTAAGACAAGATAAATTGTGTTTAAAGATTTTGATTAAAATGTCACTTAAAGCCATTTTAATGTACCATTTAGACATAAACTCTAATTTTTGCCGAAAGCCTGTTAAGTATTATGGCTACCATGGTGCACATTTTTTTTAGTTTTAAAAAAACTTCTGTTTATGTAAGTCTCCGACTAACTAAAAATCTATTAAAAATGTAAATGGAAGAGAAAAGCTCTATGACCATATGGGCACTTGATATAAAGAAAGAAACTTTTTTATATTTTTAATAAATAAAAAAAAATGGTATATGAATTCTATATTCTCAGTAATAGACTCTTACTATGTGAGAGAACTACAAATGAAGGCAATTCTGCACCTTGCAAATAAGTGATTTTTGAGAGAGTAAAATAAAGGATTAGTACAAGTTTAAGGATAAATTGACTAAATTTTATATTTTTTAGTGGGACAAGCTAATAACTTATTAGGGTGATTCTCATTTTAGGGGCAAATTTTAGTCCATTACAATTTTTACGTGATTACTTAAGTCTAACTTGATTTTTTTTCTCCACTGCTATACAGTGAAGTATTTCTTCATAATGAAATATTAAAAATTAAAATTTTAAAGAATATTGTGATTTTATAATTACTTAAGCTACTAAATGTCCTTACCATGTATTATCCCACTCTCAGTTTTCTAGTCAACAATCTTTTTTTTCTCTCGAAACCTATGTAAGATGACACTGAAATTTATTTCCACTCCTAAAGAATAATTAAGGCATTTTGAATTATATATTTTTATTTAACTTTTGTTAAAAATTGTTTTTAGCATTGTCCCATCACTTTGATGTCATTACCAAGCAAAAAACATAACATCATATATTTAAGTGTTGAAAAGAGGGAACAGCGGGAAAATTTCTTCATAGTGTAGTTGTAGCCATGGAGTTAAAGAACAGCCGCAAGCGGATATACCTACCAGTTGGGGAGCCTCCCTCTACACATCCGTTTCTTATACCTTGAGCACGTATCTTTATTGTTGTCATTACCACCGTTTATATTATCTCGCTACCTGTTCAAATTATTTCATTTATTATAATTCACGTTGGCTATGGTTTGTAGCAACTCAGAAATCAAAAATTATAATACTAGTTACACAGGCAGTGTTGGCTGAATAAAATGCATGAAAATATCATTACCAAATTGAAAACTTGTATCATTCCCACAACCGAATTATAAGCTTTACTTACTTTAATTACTCAGCAAAAAACACTTTTGGTCTTGGCTATTTTCTCAGATAAAGCTGAACGGCAATAGAAGATGTAGGAATTTAGAAAATTGTGTTTAAATGCCATCAACATTATTAAAATTTTATCATGAAAATTGCTCATAATCTGAGAAATACCCATTAAGTAAACTTACTTTTACACTTATGCTGAAGTATGAACCTTCACCAATTGTGTGTGTTGAATAAACTGTCTTGATAATATTATATTCTATATACAAATCAACATGTTTTGTTGATGTCGCTAATACATCAAACGCTTTAGAGAGGATAACTATTTAAAGTAAGAGTTCTCTCTGGGGTATACTAGTTTAATTAATTATTATAATTTAAAAATAATTTTTCTGATGTTAAATAGTTATACTATATTTGTTAATGGTATCAGCTTAGGCGTTGAATTTGATCGAATCTTTTGGTTCTAAAATTATTTTATTTACTTGTTTAACATATCCTGATACTACTCTAAACATGAGGGAAAATTATAATTAGGTAAAGAGTTATTTATAACATGGCTCATAATAAACTTAAAAGTGAAGATTTTATGATTTTCTTTTCTTTTTTTTTCAGATCATTCAAGTATGTCCAAAAAATAAACGAGATCTTCTTGGTTTTCGCAAATCTTGTCTGGCAGCTCCGTTTGAGACTTCACCTTTCGTCTGGTTTTGTGAAGTTGGTATGTTACGAGGAGATGAAAGTGCCTTAGCCCAGTTGGAATTACACTTATCTCTCCCAATCCGTATTCATAATGCAGGTAATTATGTATATGAAATGGTTTGTTCTTGTGTGTATACTATAGTTCATTGCTAGGCTAAAGCTAGCCAGAGTATAAGAAGGTAGTGTGTTAAGCTTGCCCAGTTGTATGTATATAACAATTCTTTAAAGGGATGAAATGGCTGATTTTAAAGTTTAGTCAGTCCGTTGCAAGATGCTTAACTATTCCTTCAGGGAACAGCTCAACTGATTTTCAATTTTGATGACTCAAATTATTCAGTGAAACTATGTTAGTTTTTTAAAAACAATATGAGACAAAAATACTAAAAAATTATTGTTTTAAATGGATTTAATCTGCCCTTTTGTAGATACGTAACGATTTTTTGAGATCATCACTGGGTCACTGATATTTGAAAATTAATCAGTGAAATCTCGTGAATGTTTTGAAGAAATTTTAGTTTAAAATATTATATTTTATTATGTATTTTAAACTTTTCATTGGTTTTTATTTCGTATTATTTAGAAGTTCATGATCATATTTTATCATTATAAATTGGCAATCTAAAAAAAAAGTCTGGCATTTCATGAGCAATCAAGAAAATGTATATTTTTATTTTTTGAGACATTTATGTATAATTTCTTTTGAGTTTTAAATTACTTTTGATTAGTCTAACTTAACTTATTTACTCGCTATTATAGGTAAATACAAATCTTTATTGGAGGAGGGAAGTCGCTATGCCGAAGGCCCTCATTTTCTATTAACTGATATAGTGTGTGCTGTTGGAATCAGTATCATACTTCAGCGGTTTCCTGTTGGTACTATTAGCTCTTACCCCAACATCGAGTCTTGGTTTGTAGACTTTTTCTGACTGTATTAATTTTAAAATATACTTATATTGTGATGTATGTAGGACCATAAAATATTAATATTTCTGAAGGGTGATAAATATTCAGGACGTAGTCATTATAAGGTTTTTATTAGTGCCGACGTTTCAACCCAAACATATGTCATCATCAGGGCTGAAAATTTTTAAAGACAATCAGAGATATAATATTATACGACTAATAATGGTTAATAATGAAAAATTATAGCGATTAACGGTACATGAAACTTAACTAATATTACAAAGTTGGATTGTAAATTGTTGCATTGTGTGTTGGATTTCCAAGTTGTTGATTCTTGAACCTATTCGTTCACAATTTACAGCTAAAGTTAACTGATAATAACTTTGTTATATTGTATCTTTGAAAGTTCAAATTGGATATTGAATTGAAATATTCAAAGTTGAAAGCTCAAAATATTCTGAAGTCTCAAAAAGAAGTAATCTGTTGATCATTTGTCTCTTTCCGGTACTAAAAAATTTTCTTTTAAACAATATCAATAATTTTCAAGCATTAAAGATTTCAGATAAACTTTCTCAATACTTGTGTAGGACTATTGGCTCATACATGTATGCCTTAAAATGGAATTTATAATTATGATTATTAATTTATAAATACTTAACTACTTAGTATCATATTTTATTAATTTTACCTACAAAACTGATATTTCATGTGATATAACCTTATATCTTTTTTTAAAACCTTTTTATATATTTTTTGTAACTTTTGCTTAGAAAATTGACATATTTAAATCACATATATGATTATTTCTTATATTCCAAAGGTTGTTAAGAGTTAAAGTTGACCAGGGGTTAAGCGAAGTCCTTGAACTATTCAAAGCTTTACCATTGAAATATAGCTCAAATGATGGACCAATGGTTTCGCCTATCTCTAGCTTGTATAAGAGAGATCCACTTAGGTGTAAGTCAAGGCACAACAATGTGTTTACTCAGCAAGCTGATATTGGTAAGTGGGATTATTGTCATGGAATACATCTGCATGATTATTTGTGACGTTCTTTTAATCTATCCTTTTATTGGATGATATGTGTCTTGCTTCTTTACATTTGGGAAGCAGATCTTTTTAGTGCCTGTTACTTATAGTTTTTTGTAGTCAGTCAAGAGTCTAAAATTCCTGATAAATTATTCTAGGCTGCCATTATAATTTTATTAAAGATTAAGTGTTGTTGGTTGTTAGTGGATTAGGTGCTGAAATGACTACCAAGTCCAAGTGCAATCCTGTCTAAGCAGAATTTATTTTTTATTTCAGAAGCAGAATTAATTTTTTATTAGTTTATTAGTTTATTAGTAACTAATTATTTATCAGTCTTTAGACTGACTGGATTCTTTGTTTAAAGTGGTAATATTAATATTCATCGGATTGGAAAGAAAACCTGGTGGTTAAATGTGACGTAGACCTTATGACACCTTTGCTTAATTGGTGTTGAGATTCTCTACTGTTTAATTAAACACTTATGCTTAAATTATACTGTAGCATGCATTCATATTCAACCTTCTTTTTTTTTTCTTGTTTAATAGAGTCTGGGTATTCTCCGGGAGGGAACCATTGATTAATTGATCCACAGCTAAATGAAATGCACAGAAAATATAATTTCTGTTCTCATCCTGACTTGAATCTGGATCTGGGATTTGACAAGGAGAATCCCTTAACAATTGAACTACTCCGCCCCTTATATATATGTAATGAATAATCAAATCACCCTTCCTCCTTTTGGTGCTACAACTCACGTGGGGTCAAGGCCTCCTGTAACATCAGTCACCATTCATTTTTGTTTAGAGCAGCTGATTTACAATCTCGAAGGATGGATCTTGCGTCAGCTGCCACATCATCAGCCCAGAGCAGTTTAGGTCTTCCAATTGACCTTCTTCTGAATAGTTGTTCAGTGAGGAGCTTCTTTAGAATTTGGCTAATCTTACATCAATTAAGCTTGATATATTTCGAGCGCTAATCATCCCATGGTCAATTTGGTTTGTTGTCATACCTTTGTTAGAACGCCATGTTGCTAAATGTATTCTCTTGTGGGGAAACATATCACTTCCAATAGCAAGTCCCTTGGACACAAAGAAATTTATTAGCCTTTGACTGTTATCGTTTGAGGTGTTGTGAATACTATGAGTTCCATTAGTCGGTCTGTCCGTTTGCTCCTTGCCAAGCTATGCATTGGAATCCTCTAACAAGACTTTTATATCTGCAGTCATCAACACGTCTTTCTAGGGTATTATAGAAGGTATCTTTATCCTCATCTTCCAAGAGATCAGTGGGGGCATGTGCTCTAATGACACTATAATTGTAAAGTATGTCTTTAATTCTGAGATAGCAGATTCTTGGGCCAACTGGTTTAAAGTCAATAATCAATTGGGACGTCCTCTGCTAACAATGAAGTCAGTTCCAAAGGTGTGGTTCCTCTGTTGACAGCTATAGTAAATTGAGTGGCTGTTGTCTGTTTGCTAAACATTCCTTTAGTGGTCTATCTTATTTCCTGAATGGGGGCTATGTCAACTTGATAAGAGTCCAGTTCAGTTATGAGGCTTTACAGGTCTCCTTGTCTATATAGGGTTAAAACATTCCAATAGGCGATCTTGCTTCTTTACATTTGGGAAGCAGATCTTTTTAGTGCCTGTTACTTATAGCTTTTTGTAGTCAGTCAAGAGTCTAAAATTCCTGATAAATTATTCCAGGCTGCCATTATAATTTTATTAAAGATTAAGTGCTGTTGGTTGTTTGTGGATTAGGTGCTGAAATGGATTCTTTGTTTAAAGTGGTAATATTAATATTCATCGGATTGGAAAGAAAACCTGGTGGTTGAATGTGACGTAGACCTAAGGACATCTTTGCATAATTGGTGTTGAGAATCTGTACTGCCTTATCTAGTATTGCACCCAGGATCCTACGTATTTTCATCAGTAAATTCTCTACTGTTTAATTAAACACTTATGCCTAAATTATACTGTAGCGTGCATCCATATTCAACCTTTTTTTTTTGAGAAATGTGTTGTGTCGTTTCCTTGATATCTGTTTGGCATGATAATCAGTCAGAATAATCAAATCAAAGTTAAAAATACAATATTATGCTAATCGTTATCTATCTCATTCAATGAAATGATTCATTTCTTTATATTTTAAATTAAAATTCTTATATTTATTTTATTTTATAGATTCCAGCTTGAATTTTTTGTCATCTGTGAAGATGATGCAGATGAATAAAATTCAAATTATTCCTTTGCCGGACTCAGTACCTCTTCCGGATGTACCTCCAAGCCGCAAAGAAAGAAAGACTCAACAAATTCAGAGTTTTATTTCTGCAGCATTAGGGGTAAGAATGCAGTGATGATATTCTGTGTAATTCCAGTTCATACAAGATTCATATAGTCAGAGACAGGACTTTTATATAAGTTCACCAGTTTTAATGTGATTTCATGTTGTTTTCTTCTTTACAATAAAATTCTTGATTCATTATAATTTTAGTGATATATAATGATGTATAACATGTCATTAGAAAGTTGGAGATTTTAGAAAAATAATTATCTAATATCAAAAATTGTAGAATATAATGAAGAGTGACGAAAAGCTTATGAATAATGAGTTCTAAAAACTAATGTTATTTAACTGATACTAAATGGAGACATTTAAAATTATGTTTAAGCTTGATAAATACAAAAATATATAATGCACCAAATAATAATTGCTTTATAACAGTTCTATCATAAATTTACGAGAGAAGATGTGATCAAGTGATGCCATTGAAAATATTTCAAATAATGCGTATAGATCAGAAAAACATACAGAAAATATACAGCGATATAATCAGTAATTGGTAAGAAAAAGTAAGATATTTGACTGAAAATTTTTAAGAAAATGTTTTTTAAAACATTTTAAATTAGTCTCCAATTCAATAAATGTATATTACTTTATTCTTCTCTTTGAATATATCTCTTTTATTTTTTGTATTCTTTTGTTTCAAAGTTTTTAATAATAATTTATATCTATGTTTTTATATTTAATTTAAGATTTCTTAAGTTGATTGTGTTTCAATTTGTTTTGACCAATGAATTTTATTATTGACTAATTAGTGATTTTTTCTTTCCCAACTTAGGAACTGAAATTGACTAAATATGACTAAATGAATTCCATATTGGAAGTATTTCACTTTGCCTGCTTTAATTCTTTTAACTTATTTTAAGGTTTTTTTTATGGTATAAAAATCCCGTCTCTGCATATAAAACTCTTGAAATATTTATAATTTTTCAAGTTATTGTCTATAAAACTTGTGGTTTGATATTGGTTAAAGGTTTGCCGTGAAGGCGACATAGTTGTGGATTTTTGTGCCGGAAGTGGTCATGTAGGTCTGGCACTTGCGTCGTGTCTTCCTCCTACTGTCCAAGTGGTTCTCCTTGATGCCAAAGAGGGGTCGTTAACCAGAGCAAGGGAGAAGGTTACTGAACTTGGGCTCAGAAATGTTTGGCTTGTTCAAGCCAATCTTGGCTACTTTACAGCCAAATTTCAGGTATTTAATGTTATCGAATAATTGCTATCGTTGATAAACTATTAAATAAAGTGATCAAATGAAAATTCTAAAATGTTATTTACTGAACTTTAAGTTCTATTATTTTTATATCGTTTTAAAACTTCATCTATTTAATATATTAAGTCTTTTGTTAAAAAAATTTCCTATTTTCTTGTTAAATGTATAGGAAAATTACATAACATGAAAATTGATTTTCAAGTGATTAAGATAATAGTTCGATTTAACTGTTTAAGATACTTTCATTCTTTTTTTTTTCTAAATTCTTTTCAAGGCTTAATTTTATGGTGAATTAATTACTTTATTCATTAGCACCTAATAAATGACATAAATATACCCAAATCTACTCTATGTTTTATTCATTACTTAATATTTTCAACTAAAAATAATTGGCCATTCAAATGACTTACAGTTTATGCATGGTGTCTACCAATAACAGAATTTTGTTATTCTAGAAAATTCAGGGAATAGTCAGAGAGCTTCCTGAAAATTTATTGTTGAAAAATTAAATAAATAGAAAATATTAAATTTTAAATAAGTGGGCATCCTAGCATTTTCTTTTTACATACAATCTGCTCTCACGATTTTGTACATTTTCGAATTCGCTGAGAAATGTTCCAATATGTTCTGGGGTTTACATTTAGTTTTTCCCATTCTTGACATATTATTTTTGAATATTGTGAATACATAATGTATTTATTGCATTTCACTTCCTAATTTTGGGAGGGACAGGAAATTTGATTTAAGGCAGAGAATCCAAATGGCAGATTCTAGTAGGCATCTTTTTTAGAAGTAATACTTTAGCTGCTTAACAAATGTTCATTAACTATGACTCAAATACAAACTGAAATTAACTTTTAAAAATTTTGGGTGACATCTTTAATCTTAAACCCAAGATTATTTTTATAGTATAATGAATGAATATTTTCTCTTGACAAATGTTATTGATTATTTACTGTATCGATGGTTACAGGTGGGTTTGGCTTTACATGCATGTGGTGTTGCATCAGATCTCATGCTCCATAAGTGTTTAGAGAAAGAAGCCAATATCATCCTTTGCCCTTGTTGTTATGGTGGTATTAAGGTTGGTTGAAATCTTCATTTGTTTTCATTTTTAATTTATAATTTGTCTATGTTGTTCCCTTTGTCATTCTTGTTTGATTACTATATTAATTATTCAATTAACTAGTTATAAAAGGGCTAAATCAATGTAAATTGGTTTTTATGTTTCATATTTTAACTGATGTATGTTAGAATAATTTTGTAAATCAGTTTATTTTAATAATCATATAATTTAATTGTATACAGCCGAATGAGACAGTTAAATATCCACAAAGTGAAAAGTTCAGAGACACAGGACTTAGTGAAGATGGCTTTATTGTCCTCGGCCACTGTGCTGACCAGGTTACCCAACAAGGAGCGCGCAGTATGCTCGCTGTCGACACTGACAGGTAATCTATCTCATTTAGTGTACATATATATATATATAGACACAAAGTGTGTCCTGTAAGTAAAAGGAAATGTTTAAAGGAGTGATAATTCTTCAGCGATAAAAAAAGTTCATACTAACGATTTTCTGCAGATAAGTAGGAAATTTAAGTTTTGTGTTGTTTTTTTAAATAAGTCATGATTTTTTTTTATTAATAGAAATTGATAAATAACTAAAAAAATATTTTATTTAATTAATTAACAATTGCTTCATAGTAAACTAGACAAAATTTACTTCAATTGATAGTAGAGTTTGTCATTGCTAAAACCATTTCAAGAGGATTTTTGAGAGGCTAAACTAAGCTAAGTTCTGTTTTTACCCCGAGTAAGGTAGTGTTCCTCAAAATGACAAAGTTTCTGCATGAACCAATTAGTTTCCCGGTATTCTCTTCTTATGGTTCTGCTTCCTCTCACCAGTGGTATCTCCACCTATTGGACAAGTGATCCTCGACAGTGGAAACTTCTCACAATAGCTAAGTCTGATTGTTTTTATTAAGTTAGAGGGGGGAGGAAGGAGCTCTGTCGGAAATGATAACGTTTGGGATTCGTAATAAAAGAAAGAATGGAACCACTTTAAAACATTTTCAAGAAGGATAGGTTTTGAGGTTTAGAAAGGATGATTCCGTGATTAATGAATCAAAGCCTTTTTAGAAATTTAGAAAGCCTATAGAACCGGGACAGAGATTTTCTGTTGTGGAATGTCTATGAAGAATTAAAGGTCTTGAGTAATTTTTTGCAATGCTTAAATTCCAGTTAATTAAATTATATACAGTTGAATCCTAATATTTTTTATCCTGATATAAATTTGCTTGTCACAAGATCTCTTAAATATTTTTAAAAATTATTTCCGAGAGCAGGTCATTTATTTAGCTCTATATATTTAAAACATATTGCCAGTTTAGAGACGTTTTGATTAAGTTAATCATGACTTTGATACTGTGGTTTACAGCTATTATGTTGAGTCACTGCAGAAGTTTTTTAGGTACTTTTTGTCTAGCCGGGCCGGACTGAAACCTCACTTCTTATCTTTCTTATCTAATGTCATGTCACATAACCTCCCTCTTCTTATCCCGTCAAACCTTTGAGTTATTGCATTGTTTAGTTTTCAGTTATTCCCTTATTATGTTCACTTATTAAATTGTTTACTTTTGGCCCGTTTGTGTTTATTTTACTTTTTTTTTTAGTTTGTGGCCCTTTTGTGTTTATTTTTCTTTTTTTTTTTCGTTTATTTTTGTCATATTATGGATCTTCTTAGAATATGAGATTTGCCGCTTTCAGAAGAACAGGCAATTCAATATTTTCAAAATGTTGGGCTACTTGCCAACGTGAAATTGTGTGAACAAGGTCATCGAATGAAGTTAACCAGGAAGTTCAAATGGAGATGCTTTCGTAGGACTTATGACACAAAACTTTCAATAAGGAAAGGAACATGGTTGGAGGGCTCCGTTTTTAACAGCTTTAAAATTGATTTATGGGTGGTCCCATAGCTTAACAACGATGAAGTGGGGCAAAGAGCAGCTGAAGCTATCCTACGGAGCTATGGTAATGTGGAATAAATGTCTAAGAGAGGTTTGTGCCCATGACATGTTATACAGGCCAAGAAAAAAAATTGGAGGACCTGGCAAAGTGGTTGAAGTAGACGAAACTCTTTTTTCTAAACGAAAAAATCATGTGGGGAGAGTTTTACCTCAGCAGTGGATGTTTGGTGGAGTTTGCCGAGAAACAGATGAATGCTTTATCTTTTTATAAAACAGATTTTATGTTTTATATTTTTTCTTTTCTATGTAAATATGTTCTTTTAAATGTGTTTTTTTATTATTTCATTAATATATGTGTCGTCAAATAAAAGTTTTTTTTTTTTTGTTATAACATTTGTTTTTGTATCTGTTTACACTTTCAATAAATATGAAGATATGAAGTAGGAGAAGGCTTATCACTGCATTATGGGAGTTATCAGTGTTTAAGTTATAAACATTGGCAGATAGCAGTCAGTAGCAGCCCCCTAGACTAAAAGTACTGTTTTTTATTGGAATCATTTATTATGATTCAAATATTCTAGGAAACCAATAACCTAAAATAGCCTTGGTCATTGAAGTAATCAGACAAAGCTAATTTATAGATAAATTATACACTATGATTTCATCATTGTCCACGCGTTCACACTTTTTATGACCAAAGCTCAATACTCGTTCTTCAGATACATTTTCAATTTTATTTTTTGAGCTCAATAATATACTTTGCTGAGTTTACTTTTGTGGTTCCAGATGTTTAGCAGCTGCAGAGAAAGGCTACAGAGTAGAATTATCGAAAATGGAACCTATAACCTGTTCAACAAGAAATAATGTGATAATTGCTGTGAAAGAGTAACTGTGTAATATCCTAATCTCTGTATATAGATTTGTGTATATATATTTAATTTATGGCTGTACATTTTTATTTTTCGTACAAAACCAATTGTATTACCTATGAATTGATCAGACTTGAAATATATTTAATAAATAATTTTATATTTGTTTTATTTTACTTATTCATCCTATGTCTACTCAAATCCATTTCTCTGATCGGGCCCTGAACTGTCAATATGAGATTATAATTTATAGCTATTTACCTCCAGCAATACATTTTGTAAAGCCACGCTGACTTTGACTTTCAGATGCACTGTTTCTTTATGTGTATTATTTTTAATAAACATATGTTTAATGAAAGCAAAAGAGTCATGGCAGTGGATGAAAAAAATTAAAAAAAACCTTTAATGTTCACAAGAAAATTTTATTTCAAATCATGTTAACATTTTATGTTAATACTAACAATGTAGACATTGTTACTTTACAGTAGTGCAATTGATCTGCATAGGGTAGTTTATCATAGAGCACAGTTGACCATTGGTTTGTCGCATCTTGATATGAACAATTCTAGATAAACGGCGAGTAATTAGTCACTAATATTTACACTAACATTCTTATTTTACAATATCATTATTATTACAATAGTCCTTCTCAGATGTACTATAACTTAAGTCATTTTTAAACGGAAACAAACATTGGGGGCTACATTATAGACCTGTTCATATTCTCTCGTTTAAAAATGACATTACTCCATCTTAAAGTGAACATCATTATATAAACATTTTTTTTAAGTAAAAAAATAAATTAACAATTAACATTTATCACAGATAAACATATATTTTAATAAACTGAGTTTAAAAGGAGAAAATTGATGAGTTTATAATCAAAGGAACAAATCATAGATGAAAAACATTCCGTTTTCATAATAAAAAAATAGGCATTTCAAAAGATACAAAATCTTTTGTGATCTAATGAATCGTTAGAAGCTATTGATTAGTCAAAGCTAACTGGTTCATCAAACTATGTACAACACTCATCAATATTCAACAAATACTTGCGTATAAATGATTCATAGAACCATACTTATACATTCAATTTGTACTATATAAAAAAAAAAAGCAGGAAAATCTATAAGATTCATCCAAAAAATTATTTCCCCCTTTTTTATTTCATCTTTATGATTATTATTATTTTTTGAGATTTCTAAACAATCTGAGATTGATGAAAACTTAAGTTATACTACAATATGGCTTTTCTTTTCTCTGTGCAAAATTTCTCAATCAGCCTGCAGGCTGAACATAAGGTTATCATTTTAAATAGTAATATTGCATCTCATCAAGACTGAGCAATGCTGAGCTATAATTAAACAAATTTTGATTACAAAATACAAATATAACTTCTATACAAGAAAACCTGGTTAAAATGGTAACTATACTTTACATTTAAATCAACAATTTTCTAACAAAAATATTTCAATACCTGTAGACCCTGCTATAAATGGTTTCTTTGTAAAATAATTTTGCCAAACCCATTACAAGATACCAATTAATCAGGACAGAATTTTCCAGGACTTAAGTTATAATATAAAAAAAAAAAAAAATCCTGTAGTTATAAAGTTGGATTACCTATGACTCGGCTCTTTTAAAATCTTTTGTAAAAATATACCTCCGTCATAATGCTTTTAGAATTCTTTCAGAGATTACTTAACTAAAATTAATAATGAATCAGAATTAAGATTAAGGGCCAATTCAATGATTAAGGAAAACATAAATTGACTCCAAGTTATTGGAGAATTGGAAATTTCAATTATTCAGTAATTTTTTTTGTTTTATAATAATGTTTAATAAGGTTTATAAGGTAACAATGTTTATAATAAGGAAAAAATGACCAATAGTAGAAGAAAAAAAAAACATAATGCAATTAACTAATGAATGAAGTAAGAACAAGTATACTAAATCACAATGCAAAAATAAAAATATTTCTCAGATTATAAAGTTTTTAAATTTTAGTATTTAAAAAAAAAAATCAATAAATATTATCTTCATTCAAAAAGTTAATACTCAACAGGAATGCAATTATAAACACTATGACTGGATCTGGACATTTCTCATCAATAACAGGATCTACACAATCATTCAAATTAATTCCCATATACACAAATTTCATATTTTATACAACTTTAAGAAAATATACAATTGAATTTAACCAATTTTTATAAGGTAAATATTGCAATTCAAAACTTCTCAAAAATATTTCATAGTTTGATAGCTGAATTATTAAAATTTAAATACAGCAGGAAGCAAAACTAGTGCACAATAACTAAAGAAATAAATATCTCCATAATTCAGTTACAAAGCTTCAGATAGATTATTAGATAACAAAATTTTAAATACATTTATAATATTTAACATTTCTAATATTTCCAAATTGATACTGAATAAGATAACTTCCTAAAAATAGCATAATCCTGTCAAATGAATAAAAATTATTTACCTTATTCGGTATTAGTTTTTGATTGTAACCTAAACCTATCAAAATAATAACAAGAAATTTGTTGATTTTGGTAAAATATGCAAAAACAAGACAAAAATATACATATATACACATTAGAAACTTATATTGAAGCGTCCTCAAACTTTTTTATCCTCTCTCTCCCATCTTTCAATATACCAAACTATATTTGGAACCATAAATTTTTATCTAAACACTAGAATGCTTTTTCGTTTTTGCTTTACAAGCAGCAACAACAGCTCATAATGAAAACATCTCCTTCAAGAGATATATTTCGCATATTTTTGTCTTCATAGCACAGCCAGTGAGACGCTCCGAATAACTAAGTCCATGTTGGTATACATAATGTGTTCAGATTGGTTGAATAGTAATCATCAAGTTAGGAGATGGTTGATCTTGACCGTAGCAACTATATAATATGCCTTCCACAGTACGAATGTGCATTTGTGAATGTGTAAGGGGCATTTTTGAACAGTAATGGTGACAAAGAGATATTTAATTTGCTGGTCGAGGTTATCTACGACTGACTTCGAGTAAGTTGGTTTCTGGTGCAGCAGCAAATGCCACACATGGTACACCATATAGGCTGCTGCCGATGCCGCTACCACTTCCTATTTCCCTATAAAGATAAAACAAATATTGATTATATAAAACTTACTGACAAAAGAAGAATATTCTCAATAGTTAGTAGAGACTGTCATCCTTAGTTAGAAAACTATGAATTATTTGATCGATTATAAAAAAATAAACAGTGGAACTGATAAGACTATTTTAATTTTATTGTAAGGTAAGTGAGTAATATACACCATAAATAATAGAAGAAACACTTTTAACACAGCAAAAATTATATTTATTTTTTAAATTATTCGTTTTAAATGGTTGGATAATTTAATAATGTAATACACATTTTGGTTACTGATCGTCAAAGTCAGGAAGGGGTCTCTAAACAACAACCACAAGTCAGATCTGGTCCATGGACATTTCTTTGATCATGTGGTACAATTTTTAAAATTATTTATAAAATATGAATATGAGTAAACCATTCAGACACAACTTTTATTGCATAAGTTTTTCTTTTAGAAATTTTATTTCAAAACTGCAGATTCATTAATAGATACATGATTTTGACAAAGTTAGTAAAAATCAAAGTTAATTGACAGTGATCACCCATTCAACCATACCAGTTAACCAAGTTATTAAGTTGTACAAATTAGATGCAAAAATTAACTTTTTTTAATTACTTAAAGAATAACCTTTTTCATCCGGATGCACCCACTGTTCAAGAGTTATGGGAGAAAAAACAAATCAGTTTTGAGTTGCAGACAAGCTTCATTTTACTTACAATAAATACTTTTATAATTCACACTCATACACATTCTTGTGCTGCTTGAGTACCCTTTATAGGTCCTGCCTGGTTTTAGGCTTTGATATGTTTATAGAAAATTTTAAATAAAAATCATAGAATAATATTAAACTTGTTGGATTTAAAAAAAAAATTATTGATGGAAAAACCAAAAAATAAGTTGGTTTTGATTTTTAAAAATCAATTATAAAAAGCCCCTAAATTACTATTACACGAAATAAATAAAAACCATGTTTTTATTTTGAAGCATCAAATACATTGATACATCAATATTTGTTGTAATCAAAAGCCCTCGCCCAGGGGACTTGATATATATACATATATTATACCTTCACTTTTAAAATTACGTTTCAATAGTTTCATTTATATACATACATACATATATATATATATATATATATATATATATATATAGAGAGAGAGAGAGAGAGAGAGTGTATTTATAGATTTGATTTTTCTCCATTAATATTATAGTTTTTGTTCATGCTAGAAGAAAATTTAATTTTGCTGGGCTGATTTTCATTTTTATAACTCCTTCCTCTAAATTATAGGCAAGGATAAATTAGAAATAAATTAAAATATCTAATATTTTATATATACATATTTCTTTGAGTTTCTATTGAGAAATGACTCGTACTTCCTTCTTTACCTTTGTATAGAAAAGAAAACTTTTCTTCCAGGCCCACGTTATTGGAAAATTATAATTATATATTTTTTTTATTATTTCCTAATGAACTTAAGACTAATTACAGGGTAAAGCAAAAATAATGACCACTTTGGAAAAAATAACCTAACATTCTATTGTTAAAATATTTTATTTATATTTGCATTTTAGATAATTCTATTATCAACCCAATTTATTTTTTTTTAAATTATAAGTAACACTGTCAATGTAGGAATGGTATTTCCTGGTATTGGTTCACTATCATTTTAGGTGATAAATATCTTAAAAGGTAGAATTTATTTAATATATTTTTTAAAACATAAAATGTATATCGTTGTAATTAATTTACAGAAATACATCCCAGGTCTCAAGAAATTAAAGTTTCGGAATAATTTATTGTAGATATTTTGTTCAAAACAGGTACTCTGGAGTGATCAAATATTAAATCACATAATGCTTTTACACAATTAAAGATGAATCTCGACTAAAACTTAATTAATACAATTAAAGATGAATCTCGACTAAAACTTAATTAATAAGGATTTAAAGTTTTTATTAAATAAAGAAATGTTACAAAAGGGTAGTATTTGTAGTCCAGTTGGTGTATGATAAAAAAAAAAAAATTGTGAATAATCCATGATTTTAATAAATACAAACTCTACTTGCATTTGAAGAAATTTTATTTTGTTTACTACGAAAAAAATTTTAATTAGCTCAAATTTTTTTTAAATTGAACATGTTATTCTTCTTCTGCCAGTGGCTTGAAAGTCCATTACTAACCCCTCCTCCAGTAACTTCCACCAGTCTGCATGGTGTTGGGCAACAGTACTCCAGTCCCGACTCCCACGATCGTCCGGGCATCTTCTGCTATGCTATCCATCCATCTAAGACAGGTTTCTTCTTTACGCTTGGCACTATGAATGGCTCATTCACTCGCTCATTATTTTTCTGGGGATCTCATCTTGTGACATTAGTGCTATATGGCCAGCCTACCTCAATCTTCCCAGCCTTATATGCTTCACAATGTCAGGTTCACCGAAGAGGTTATATATTTCTTGATTAGCCCTCCTGAGGTATGTTTGACCAACTCTTCTAGGTACATAAATGCGCCACAGAATTCTCTCAAAAGCCAATAAACTTTGCTCATCCATCTGTGATATTACCATTTTTTCTACTTAATAAATAAAAAAAGTGACATGCTTTTTTTGGGGAGGGGGAGAGGGAGCTTCCCCTTTCTTGCTGTTAAGGATATAGGTTTTTCCGGGCCAGGGAGTGTGGGCAGGGATTTAAAAGACTCCCTCAGCACCGGGATGCGAACTCGAGACTATTTTTATATCATTTGGTTGATATATCAGGTTGCCGGGCAACGGCGGTGCTGCGCACACGCGTTAGCCTATTCTGCCACCCCGTAAAAGACACTTAAGAAAACACAAAACTTCCTGGGCAAATAGGAACATGCTTCATACAAACATTTTTGTAGCTCTTAAGGTCTATCACCCCTTTAAATATTTTCTTTTACTTAATGGACATCCTACATGGATATATATCATCAAAATGTGAGAACATACCATTATTTTATGCAATTTGTTTACTCAACGCAAACCATCTCCTAGTATTTTTTTTTTATTGAAAACTACAAGATTGAAATTGAGTAAACAGATGCTCTCTTTTATGTTTCTCATCATAAGTAAATAAATAAAAAATTATTAAACAATCTTGAAGGGTTATTTATTTCAAAAGTGACCATTATTTTTTTGCTACAACTAAATAACTACAACCATAAATAACTTCTTAAAAGAAAATATAGTTAAAATTTTTAAAAAGTAACAGAAAAACAAAACTAACAAGACAAAACACAGATATAAACAGGTACTACTAAGACGAGAACATGCTTAAATACAAGCTATATGAAAAAATAAAAAATAAAGCATAAACCAAATTTTAGAAAGATAGAAATGGATATAATTATTTTAAATCAAATTTTAAGAAATAGATATTGTAAAATAATAACAACCAGTGATAATTGAACAAAGGAGGTTATTGAGTAAGGTTAACATATTTATATTGATGTCAGTTAATCATAGTTATCTTTTAGTGAAATATGGCTTTAGTGAAATAGTATAGTAAACCACTAATTTGGTACATCAACAAAGTTTGGTAAAGTAAAGAAAACACCCACCTCCTCCCTTTTAAATATTCTTTCTTTATAAATAAAACCTAATAAAATATATTTAATGTATAATTTTTAGTTTTGGTTTAAATAAATGTGATGGTAATTTGTTAATAAAAGAAAGAAAATTCTAAAGGTAGGCATTGGCTAATAAATAAAAATAACATAAATTTTGATCTAAATTGCAGGCTATCATCAGGTCTAAAAGCAATGAAGAAGAGAGTGACGATAAAGATATCCTTTGGGTTGTAAACTAAATTAGGATGATGTAACTCATATAATTACATAAAAGTAATATTTCAATGAAAAAACAGCTTTTCATAAATTTTGTACTTTTCTGTTCTTACTTTAATTATTGTGAAGAAGAATTCGAACGAGAAAATCGATTCATAAAATAGATTTAGTATTTAACCTAATGAGTGCTATGATAAACTATTTCATCCAGCAAAAATGTTATCATTGGTGAAATCTTATGTACAACATATTCCATTAGAAACAATTTAAACTATTATTAAATAGAAATTATAATAAAAATAAAGTATATCAGATTGACCTGACCTTTTGTGACCTGACAGGAACAGTATTCCAGTTCCCATTTCTCGTTATGTTCATTGACAACTTTTTCTTCAAGGCCTTAAAAATATTTTCTATTTTTACTGGAATGAATTGTTAATGATATCAAAAATTATTTCAAATCATTTTTTTATCCTTAAACTGCTATACTTTTTATTTAACAAATCCTTTATTATTTTCTTTTTGCATAAAAAAACAAAACAAGAACAATAAAAAAGTCCCTCGCCCATGCTTTATTTCTGAGAATATCTTACTAAAAAAATACTGTCTTTATGTTTTAAAATTCAGAAAACTATGCATTTGCATAAAGTAATTTTGTCTTAAAATAAACTAGATTAAAGCTCACATGATTTACACATGATTCATTATCACAAGAACGGTTGACCTCAATACAGAGCCAGGTGACTACCGGGGTACCATAAACGTATTCTAGTAATTTCATTCAAGGCAAATTGTATAAATTAATTATTGAATAATCAAACTTATTTCTGATATTTTTTAACACTGTTGTTTAATAACCGCTGATTTATTATTAACAATCAAAGCAAGAAACTGGAGAAAGGATGAATAAATTTAACAAACTTTTATACACTCGAGGTATTTGGAAAGAGTGTTTTTTCATAGTCAGATTTAAAAACAAATTTAGGCATTTCTATTTTTCACTATTTCATTGGATTTGGGTATGCACAATAGAGATATGTATACTCAATGACACAACTCAAGACAAATGAATCATTTTTACACAAATCTACAAAAACAATTATTGCAACATTAATAGTTTTAAAACATCAAAATTGGTAGAACACAAATTAAAGTCATGCAGATAACTCAGAAGGAAAATACTAGATATAAACAAAAGCAATAATAAAAATTAACTATTTCAATTAAAAGTAGAATAAACAGTTATTTCTTTCTTTGCTTTAGTTAAATAGTAGATAATAATAAGTCAATTAGACAATACCTGCATCAAATTATTAACTTTTTTTTAATGCCTAGTTAAACAAATATGCACTGAAACAGAAATGGGTTCCAGCACAAGGTAGGCAGTATCTTTGTAGACTTAAACAGTACTTGTGGTAACTAATCTTCAGTATAGTGTACTCTCACTAGCACAACCACTTGAGTTATTTTCACAAGGATGTTATATCTCTAAAAGTCGTGCATAGTTCTATTTAAGGAATACTTTCTTAGGTTAGCTTTAAGTCATCATAGGAGCCAGGTGATTTCAAGGCATATAACTGTAAATGGTGCTCCTCCCAATTCATTATTAGATAAGACTAGAATATCACGTTCACATTCTAACAGTTCAACAGATAATTCAAACGAGCCAAGAGTTTTATTGTCTTTAAACTTCTCTACAGCCTCCATAATTTCCTTAGGTGCTTCCCACTCAAGATTGTTGAACCTTTTCCTGCATTTCTTTTTAACAAGATGTTAAATGGTTCCTCTCATACAACAGAATTCTACCATTATTTGTATAAATCATTATTCTTTTTAAAATGCTCTTTGTAAAAGTAAAAATTTCTTCTGAATCAAAGAAAATTATGAAATTAATTGATTATCTTTAATTTAATGATTATCTAATAAATATATATAAACAGACCTTACAAGTTATGCAAAACATCAGACATATAAAATAAAGTCTAATTTAACTATTGCTCTTATATATTTTAAAACCTAAATATCCTATTAAGAAAAATAAAATGAATAAAACAATTTTTTAAAATAAAATTATAACACGTTTCTTCACACATATTTACAAATTTTTTGAATTACAGCAGTTCAATATTTCCTGCTTCATGCTGATGAGTACGATGATCTGTGCAAGTACAATGAAATAAGTCGATGCTAGCTAAAAAAAATGTCATGCAAATACTACGTGAGTATAAATCACATTAAAAGTAACAGAACAACACATTCACATAACATAATTTACTTTTTCTAGTCACTTGCCTCTTTTTATCCTCATGATGGTGATCTTCTTTACCTCTCGATATTAGGAAATATTTAAAAAACTCGTACGTGGACCAACTGATTGCCGTTGCCGGCATTTGGAACATAACTCTCGCACTGAGCCCTTTGAAGAACCCAAATGGACCACCTAATATGTATACTGTCCTTACGGCATTCAGAAACCCTCGGACCATTAATTTTCCCTAAAAACAAAGTATTAACTGATATTAAATTCCTTTCACCATACTTTCACTTCTATCAAATCATTTTGGAGTCATCATACGATGAGTTCATGGTAAAAAGAGAATCACATTTTCTGTGAAAGTTGTACATATCAATATATTCATATGGTTGAGTAGGATATGATGGTAAAAAGTAACAGCCGGAAGTGCATCATCAGCTTAATGTCCTCAAAATACATTTTGGAAGACTGTCTCCTTTTTTTCCAAAGACTTCTTATATGTAATGAAGAATAGATTAAAAAAAAAAAAATCTAATCTCTGTTGTTAAAAAGCAATCAAGGGAAAAGATTACATTAATATTGAACACACCAAGTCTGGTTAGTAATAATTAATTTCATTTTATGTTTAATGCAGTTAAATATAATTTAAAGTTCAAACAAAAACTTTTTTATTTGAGTAACAGTTACAAGATTGTGTTTACGACGATCTTAATTTTCCATAGATATCTCTCAACAATACGATAAAATTAGCAGTGAGCATTTTGTCGAGAATAAATCAATATTAAATTCAAACGTATTTCGATAAATTACCATTTTACAGGGATTTGAATTGTTAGTATAATTATACTTAATATAAAACAGTAACTAGTGACATATTTCTCCCTTATTATAGTTACGAATTGGCAATAAGAACAATTATAATTATAAAAACATAAATTTGCAATAAGGCACTATGTATAATATAGATTTTCAAAGAAATTAAAAATTTGTCTAAATTGTGATTTCGTTCAGTTTATTTTATGTTGATAAAAAATAATACAATCTGAACAACAGAATACATGTAAATTAGAGTAATACTATTTGAGCAACGAGTATTAAAATTATATGAACATTTGTATAATTTGTAAAATGGGGATTGGTTCGCCGTCCGGTGGACAGGAGGCACCTCCCTAATTAATAAATAAATAAAAAATAGTTACACTAATTTTCCATAGAAAAATAATTATCAATTCAACTATTTTCTTAATTCACAAATAAGAAAATATTGTTTTTTTTATTAATTATTTCTATAATTGAAGGGTAAGGAAAAAATACAATGAATGTTCGAGTAAGATAATTACCTCTGATTGTGTATTGAGAAGGGTCTTACAGACATCTAACGGTGTGGTGATGGCTGCAGCGATACCTCCAGCAAGAGCACCAGATATCATGTGAGCCCTCGGATTATACTCCCTACAAATCAATAAAATAAATATACAAAGTTCCACCATTAACCCTTTAATGACGGTGATCCACTGTAGCAGTCAGGAGAAAGGTGGATCCCTAGGACGGTAAACCTTGCTAGCAGTCCAGTTTTCTCTCCCTCTTCAGTTCAGTTAACGATGCTGAACGGGTTGGACCGATAGACCTTGTAACAATCTGACAGTGTTCTAGGGAAGTTGTAGTACTTACTTCTACCCCTGGATATTTTAAGATTTCATTCTAGAGAAGCTTCAGTACCAACTCAATATATATAAAGTATGACTTCACTATTGTTCCCAGAAGGAATTTCCATCTCTAGAGCACAATTCCACTCCTAGACACATCAAATGGCTGGAATTATCCCAAACAAACTTTTCATATCTTTTATTTAGGCTATATATGTATGTATAAATTTTCTTTGAACATATCATACATAAATATATACTGAAGAAGGTGATAAGAACATCATCAAACAACATCAAAATAAAGGGGTGAATCATAAAATCCGATCAGATAATATAGCTGTCCTAGGAAGCAAACGAGAGGATATTCAGAAACTCATTAAGACTATGATAAGAAAAGCAGAGCAAATTGGCCTAAAAGTAAATGAAGGTAAAACAAAATATAAGATAGTATGGTGAAAACTCCATCCTAATAACAGGATCTGCATAGAAGGGAAATCATGTCTGATAGTAGACAACTTTAAATACCCCAGCTCCACAATATCCTCAATGAATGATCAACAGTCGAAAATAGACCAGTAAACAAAAAGCGCAAACAGAGCTTTCTTTTCTCTTTGAAAGGTATGGAAATCCCAAAAATCTCAAATTAAGGGTGTACAATGTATGATAAAGCCAGTTTTAATATGCTGCGAGATCTGGATATTAACCAGCACCCCAGAAAGAAGTATTGAAAGATTTGAGAGAAGAATCCTCTGTACAATAACCAGAACAATCTAGAATCACAGTACTAATACTACTTACAGAAACAGGTCTATTAATATTTCATGATATGAAGGCAAGGAAGGAGATTATGGTGGGTAGAACATGTAGTTTGAAGCAATCCATCTGGAAGCCTTCAAATTACAATGATAACCTCAATAGTCTACAAAAGACTATGTGGAAGGTCAAAAGCCAGATGGATAGATCGAATAAACAAAGACGAAATAGAGCTGCATGCAGATAACTGGAAAGAAATATCTCAAGATAGGCTGGTTAAGGCAGCAAAAGATCAACAAGGTATATTATACCACCAGAAAATATATATATATATATATTTTTTATTTTATTTTATTTTCCTCTCTACCCTGCCTTTAAGACAATACGGGAGTTTGTAGCAGTGACTTGTACACATAACAAATCACTGTTGCATGTTTATCTATTTACATTTTTAAATTGCTGTGCACACAGCCTGATTGATAATTTTGTCACTTAGTTATTGTTCTCCATCTTCTTCTCCTGTCCTAATTAGCGGCCTTCCAGGTACTGCTTCTTCACGCCTTCCCAGGGAGAAGTGGGTTGGGCCCACAGTTTTTTTCCAGCCGCATACGAAACTTTTAAAGTGCGGGTAGTTTTGTTCAGACATTAGTTGGGGTAATTGTCCTTCTGTAAGAACGAAAAGCCCTGTATCCCTCATTAATTTGGCCCTCAGTGCCTCATAGCTGGTGCAGGCTACAAGGATGTGCTCAGCGGTTTCAGGTACTCCACAAGTGGGGCATAAGGGGTCGATATTTTTACCGTGTTTAAAAAGTTTTGCTCTGAAACCCCCATGCCCCGTGAGGATCTGTGAGACCCAGTAGTCCGGGAGGACCCATTTCTTTTCTAAGCGCGATTTAATGGTGGGAAAGAATTTTCTTAGTGTGGACCCGTTTGGGGTTGTCACCCATCGCCGATTCCATTGTTCCAATGTATCCTGCCGGAGGATCATCTTCCATCTTCTGGGGTCATCACAAATCCTCTCCCGAATGTTTGCTGGTAAATCCGCCAAGTCATCCCTCTTAATGTTGTACCGATAAAGGTCTTCCCGCAGAAGGAGGTCGAGAGGAATACCTCCTCCTAAGACCTGCACCGCCTCATGGGACACAGTTCAGTATGACCTGGTTACTCTAAGCAGGGCCATCCGCTGGATTGTTGCCAACTTGCGCTTCTGACGGTACGAGAGATTCCGGTTCCATGCGGGGGACGCGTATCTCAGGATACCAACAACTACTCCTTTATAAATGGACATAGTTGCTGGATATCTAAGGCCCCAAAAGGCCCCCCCTATGCGACTGAGACCATTAAGGGCTAAGGTTATCCTATTCCTTAAGTAATCCAAGTGAGGCGTCACGTTGAATTTTTTCCCAATCCTAATTCCAAGATAGGTGACTACCTCACTTGGACATATTCTGGAACCTTGTATCACCAAGGTTATGGGGTGTGCCCTATCGGTCGAACCTCTCAAGAGGATGGCCTGAGTCTTGGAACCCGCCATCCTTAACTTCTTTTTCTCGCACCATTCTTCTACAAGGTTGGCACAACGTTCAGCTTCATATTTTAATCTGGCCCTGCTATTCGAGGCCACTACAACAGCCAGGTCATCTACATATGCAGTGGCGGGGAACCGCTCCTGTTCTAGCACTCCCAGCAACTCGTCAAAGACCAGTTTCCATAGGGCAGGGCCAAGGACAGAGCCCTGTGGACAGCCCCTTTCCACTGTATCTTCTACTTCATAGAAGCTACCTTTAATCTTCAATGTCCTATCGTGGAGATAGCTTCTGATCAAGCCATACAAGTTGCTGGGGGCTTCATGCCTTTGCAACTGCTGGAGTACGCTCGGCCACCAGACGCTATCGGAGGCGGATGATATGTCAAACAGGAGGAGCATAACATACTTCTCCGCCTTCTCTTCGACATCACAGCGCACTCTCAGCAGGGCATCTGCGGTTCCCCTGCCTTTAGAGGATCCGTACTGCCGTGGATGGCTCGCTCTCGAGAAGACTGGCCGTAGGCTGGTGAGGATCAGGTTTTCTAACACCTTGCTCATGACTGGGAGGAGACATATAGGTCTATAAGATTTGGCTAATTGCTTATTTTTGTCTCCTCCTTTGTAAATGAGCTTGACGTTAGCGATTTTCCAAATTCTTGGGAAGTATTCCCTGTCTAGGCAATCATTATAAATAGCCAGCAATCTTTCCTCTATATAGGGAATACTGTTCTTGAAAATTGACGCGTCAATGGTGTCTAAACCGGGGGCACGACCAATCTTTTGCTTGTCCACGGCAGTGCGAAGATCCCATATGTCCCATGGTGGGCACAGGTCCGTGCCGGGAGGGTATACCGTAGTGCGTCTTACGAACTCCTCCTCTTCATTATCTTGAGATGGATCATCCCTGGGGTAAGTCTCTGTAATAAACATCTTCGCCGATTCTTCTGGAGTTTTTGCCTGAGTACCGTCATACTTTATCGCTGCGATTACTTGCATTGGAGTCAATTTACCCAAGGCTACTTTGTACGGGATACCCCAGGGGTTTTTAGATGATTCCTCAACGATGAATTCATCCCAAGACCTACGTTTATGTAGACGCACCTCGTTTCGGTATACCCTGGCTTTAGACCTGTACTCGTCACGAAGAGTAGTGCGCCTTTCATCGCAACTACACCGCTGGTACGAACGCCGGGCCTTGTAGAGCTCTCTCTTCATGGTGGTTAAAGCCGGCGTCCACCATGGGACAGGTTTAGCTCTCGCCTTCCGGTGCTGGAGAGAGTCCTCAGCGGCATCACGGATGATGTCAGTGATTCTCGAAACCCTGTAATCCAGGTCATCAGTGTAATCCGTTTCCGCCACATCCCAGTCATCGTCCACTAGTTTTTCTTCCAGCGTTGACCGGAAGGCATTCCAATCTCCTTTCCGAGTTCTGTAACCCTTATTTATGCCGTGGGAACTTACCATGTTTTGTACCATTGAAAATACTATAGCATGGTGGTCGGAACTCGTCTCAGATCTGAGGGTCCAATCGATAAGGCGATTTGACAGCGCAGGCGAAGCCATCGTGACATCTATCCAACTCTGCCCTCTTCCTCCTGAGAAGGTAGGTGTGGCAGAAGGATCGTTTAGTACTACAAGCTGGCATCTCGCGATAAAATCATCCAGTTTAGCGCCTCTTCTATTCGTTCGATTGGATCCCCAGACCGTGTTCCAGGAATTTGTATCTGAGCATATAATGACGTTATATATAAGCATATCTGAGCATATATATTAGATATATAATAATTATATATTTATATTCCTGTATTTGAAGGCCATAAAATATACAGTTATTGAGATAAATCACAATTCTTCCTAAAACACCCATACCATAATTACCATGGGATACTAATTACATGTTTAGGTTTTTAAAAATTAAAATATTGCTGATTATTATATTTTACTATAAACTAAAAATCTATTAAGAAGTAAACACAGGAGAAAGTTGAGAGATTTAACTTAGGCAACTCTGATAATATAGGAAGAAACTTTATATTTTTAATTAAAAAAAAAAAAATGCATTTATATGGACATAGCTTAAGAGATGATGAAATTGTTATCTATGCCTGGCTTCTATATTCCACTTTTAATAAGTGAGTGCAGACCAAGGTTCCTACTCTTTTTACAGTCATGTAGGTATCATCGAATATAATACTAGGTTAGTATTAGTTTAAGGATGGCAGAATCTTAATGTTTAACTGGAGAGGTATTTTCCATTAGAGCAAGCTAATTACTTATTAAGTAAACTTTTACTACAACATAGTCATTATAAAGTATGGTACAAAGCTTCACCAATTGTATATGTTAATTAGGCTTTCTTGATAATAATATAATTATTCTTTACATGAATAAAAATGTTCACCTAATATTGATTATACATAATTTTTTTAAGGAAGAAGGATAGATATGTAATACAAGAATTCTTGCACAGGTATTAAAGTTTGTCATTTAAATAATTAATATTTAACTTTAAAAATTACATTTCTTGTTTAAGTTGTATACTTGAATAACGAAAGTGCACTAATTAAAAGGATGAAAAAGTTGTTTGTATGCCATTTCGTACACATAAGGATCCGTTCCCAAAGGTGCTTTTCTAATACCGCAGTCCTAGGGCCCACTCTTTCCTCCTGATCCACCGTTTTTAAAGGGTTGATTAAATTTACATAAAAAAGGATAAAATAAGTATACCTCGTAGGATTTGTCATTGTTTGTGCAATCTCGTATGCCATGAAGTGTATCGATTGGAAAGGTATGTTCATTGCTAGCTGTGTTGTGTACGACCTGTAGAATGCACCAAACCCTTCTACCCTGTAAGTTTTCCTCATGCAGTCCATGACACCTCGGTAGGGACTGTCGTACATTTGCATCCTCTGCTTAACAACTACAAAAGTTAAGAAAAAATTAATAAGTTGTGAAATATTACAATTTAATTACAATATTTATTATGAATGCATAAATGTTTTAAATAAAAACACATGACTGGCCTTACAGCAGGGTTGGAAGCACTCCATCGCCTTCCAAGAAGCCGTTTTTATCCTGCAGATGCTTCCTGCCCTAGTCGGAGTACATAAGGGTGTTAAACCCAATAACAAAACATAAAGCTGAAGGAGATATTACAAAGGTTACCTGAGGGGAAATTTACCTATTTGTAAAAAATAGATAATCATTTGCCTAACTGAATTTACATTTTACATTTAACCATTGATTGGTGCTGAATACAAAGGAACTATTTTAATTGATAGACAAAAAAGTAAATATTTATTGTAAAAATATTTCTATTGTTCTTTGAATTATAAAACTATTTCAAACATATAATGCTACTTTTTTTCAACTTGTAGGTCTCCACAAATAAAACGGGTTTGGTATAACTCCCTGAGAGAACCAATCTTACTGTCCGAGAAGTAGAAGCTAAAATTTGAAATTGTTATATTAAGATTACTCAAAGCCAATTATTGATTACATCGACTCCCTGATTACCCAATTGATCATAAAAAATAATTAAGCAATTGCTTTACATTGCTCATCATTGAATCCTTCCTTTGTGTAAGGAGTGACCAGATTAGATGAACAGGTAGGTCAACATTTATTAATTTATTCAGAAAAAGTTCAAAGTATCTTTTGTCAAGAAAATGCTTCATTTGTCAGGTTCAAAACAAAGTATTTCACAAGACAAAAGAGTTCTAAAAGAAAATGCAAACAAGGAAGAAACAAATAGATACAATTTATTTATATAGTTTTATAAAAAAATTTAAATAATTTTACCATCAGCAGGTGTCATTATGCCATCATGAAGAACAGTTGCCAAACACCCAGAAAATCCTAGAAATACACATAATGAAGAGAGATGAAAAATAATTATTTTGAAATAATTCACTTGTTTTACAAATTTTAAAATAAACACTACCAACCATGGGCTACGTGGTTATTGACATTAAACCTTGTCGTTAAAACTTCTTTTAAGAATTCGTAACATGAAAAGTAAAGAGCGTGAGCAGGTCCAGCACCAACCACTGCGACTTCTATGCCCCTGAGCGGTCGGAGGAGGCCTTCTTGCTGGATCATCTTTCCCAAAACTGTACTGATTGAAAGGTTATGATGGTTCACTGATAGTGACTGCATCCTTGTCTAAAAATAGAGGAGGCATTTCAGTAAAGCAAAAGTTAATAATTATAATATATTATTTAAATGCAATATTAATATTTAATACTTCTATGTCTATATTAATTAAAATTTCCATGTGAATTAAAAGAAATAATGTTTTTTCTTTCATTCCATATGAATCAGAGTCACTCAACTGCTTTTCGAAATTATGATAGATGATTAGCAATAATAACAAAATATAATAATAATAAAACTTCTGTTCTCTCATTCAATAATACATGTTATAATTTATGCAAACACATGCAATTTTCACCATTAAAGAAATAGTTGTTAATATTTTGACTGTTTGATGGTTAAACATAAGGTAAATTCAACAAAATAGATTCTGTTTCCTCATTTCAAGTCTTCTGAAGCTGGATTTACACCTAAAATAATTTTACTAATAACAAAAATTATTAAAATGTTACTAACATTTATCAACAATTTTCAGTGAAAAATGTCAATAGTTTTTCCTAATAACATTTCATTTGATTGAAACTAATTCGTCATTAATAACAATTCACTATTGACACATGTAAAAGTAGACATTAAAATAATATCAAATTTTTTCTAGTAACAATATTATTAGTAGCAATGTAGTGTAAAACCATCTTAAGATTGAACACACCTATAGACACGTCCAAACTGGGTAGAAAATATAAATAACTGGTAGAGAGTATATCTTCTAGCTCATTCCTTATATAATTGATAGAAAATGTTAACTATTCCATTTAATAATAAAATTATAATTATGCTAATGCTATTCAGACTTCCTCCTTCCTAGGTTCTTCTATGAACAGTTCTACACTATGTATAAAAAGAGATTGTTACTAATATTATTCCGTATGGCAAACAGATATGTCATTCTTGGATGTCATTTTTATTTATTCTATAATTCCTTGTTTTCAAGATACTTTTAGAAAATTAATTTTTAAAGTTCCGTACATCTCACTCCACTATTCAGCAATGTCATCGTGTGGTAGACGTGGTTTCCTCTGCATTGGAGGAAACAGTACTGGAATGTACTGTACGGGAGTCTTTCTTGACTTTGAACAGGCGTTTGATCGAGTCTGGCATCCGGGACTGATGTACAAACTCCGTAAATTCCTACCACCTACATACTTCCTCATTATCCGTTCCTACCTTAGTGATAGATACTTCAAAGTAAATCACAAAAATGCCTGTTCATCTCTTTTATCTCAATTTGCTGGTGTTCCTCAAGGTAATATCCTAGGTCCTATCCTTTACACAGTTTATACAGCTGACATTCCAACCCATCCCAACACTGTCATCACCACCTATGCCGATGACACGTGTATCCTATCAGTTAACAACGATCCATCAATTGCATCCAAAACTCTCCAATCACACATCACAAATCTTGAAGAATGGTGTCAAAACTGGAGGATTAAAATAAACTCCAATAAATCCCATCAAATTACCTTTGCCCTGCGTCGCAAACCTATGACCTCCTGTCCTACAGTATTCTTTAACAATTCCCCACTTATCCCAGTTGAACGAATTCGTTACCTAGGACTCCACCTCGACAAACGACTCACATGGAATCCTCATACAAGACTGAAACGACAAGAAACCGCTCGACGTTTCCGACTACTCCAACACTTACTAGACAAATGCTTTAAGCTTTCACTCAATTACAAACGACTCATATATATGACAATAATAAGACCTATTTGGACCTACGGAATTGAGCTCTGGGGCTCCACTAAGCCATCGAATTCCTCTCGTATCCAATCCTTACAATCCAAAATCCTTCGTAAAATCCTCAACACTCCTTACTTTGTCACAAACAAAATCATCCATAAAGACCTTAATGTTCCATATGTTTCCGATTTGGCCCAATCCAGATACCTATCCTTCCATAACAAACTGCAGAACCATCCGAACCCTCTTGTTTCAAACATTGCTTCCTCCTCTATCCCTGATAATCCTCCGAGGCGTCTGAAAAGAAGATGGCCTCGGGATCTTCTAATATAGAACTTTAATTTGAGTTCTGCCAATGGGTAGTTTCTCTTCATATTTTCTATGTCATGTTACCAATGTCACATTTACCTGTTGTATTTTCAATGTAATACAGTTGTAAATTTCAATAAAATTATAAAAAAAAAAAAAAGATTTTTAAAGAAGGATATTTTAAAATTGTTAAGATATTAAGTAGTGATGCTAATGTTTTTTTTTTTACATTATTTTGAGTTTTTTTTAAAAAGAAAAATTGTTTTGTTTTTTTCATTAATTTATAATAGACATTTGCTACATTTTTTGTTATTCCCAAACAGTTTTGCCATCTATTCTGTACCTAAACATGATTAATTTTTTTATTTTGAGCTTAGTGCACTAATTTACAAATAGGTAGAATGAACATTTGCCCAGACCACCAGTTCTGAGGTAGGGAGAATTCGAGGTGTGTTTAAAAGAAGGAAAAATATCTTCTTCTTTTTTATGGACATGAAATATTTGATTTTCTAAAAACAAGAAGCAGGTACTACCCTATTCCTGCTATCACCTACAATAGATTTTTTTCATGAACAGAATCAAGAGGAAATGTTAGTTTATAATATTAGACCTTAAAAATTAAAACTCATCTAACTTATTATATAAGTATATATATATATATATAAATATAGATATACACATATAATATGTATAATGTATTATAATATTCATATAATATGTATAATGTATTATACTTTAATTAATTTTTATGAACAATACAAATAGCAGCTTCAATAATAATTTATTTGATGAGAAAGAAGACTAACAGCCAGTATCTTTTAAGAAAAACATAGTAACTAGTTGCATATGTGAATTTAAAGTTGATATTAAATAAGTTTGAATTTGCAAGGTTACATGTTTCGGTTGGAAAAAGAAGGAGGGAACTAGAGTGAAAACTATCTATCTGTCCAGAGTGCTGGGCTATTAAAATTGGGGCCTGGGAGTATCCTTATTTTTAAAAATAGTGCTTTTAATCATTAAATTTTTTGAGCTAGTAAAATTTAGCTGGATCTCATTTTCATTAGTGACTTTTTTGTTTATTTTGCGATTGTCAGATAATACAATTTCATTTCATCTTAGTGTCCAGATATTGTACAATTTCCAGGTAGTGTCGAGTGCGTTTATGACAATACCTTTCCATTTTATTATATTATCTCATCTATTGAAAAATTGCTCTTGTGTACATCACTGTATACAAAAACCCAAAATTTTTGACATTTTAAAACTGGTCAAAAAAAACTAAAACATCCATGCAAATACTGAACATTACTTTTTTTTTAGATGGTTCCATTATTACTGAGATTTCTGAGAGAATAGAGGAATAAAATAAAATAAAAATTATTAGGAATAAAAAACTGTAAAGGGCCTTTAATTAAAAAAAAAATAAATAAAATTAACTTTAGGCTATTAAATAAATTGATAAGAATAATGTTTGGTTAATAAATATTGAGTCATCAGTTCTAATATGGATTCCACTCAGGTGCGCCAACAAGATGGCAATTGTTGACCTTGATAAAAATCGAGTTACTGTCATCATTTACAGATAATGTTAATTTGGTTAATTGATCAGACTATTAAAAGGTCGAATATAACTTTTATGAGTATCTTTAAAATAAATTAAAAATCAATCAATTGAATCATAGGGGTAAAATATCAAACGAAATATTTAAAATTTTGCTTAAAGATGGTTTGACGGTACGAATAATGTTCTTTGAAATTTAATCACCAAACTTATTTGGACAGTTTTAAATATGAGGAAAACATACGCTGGGATTAACAGGACTTAAACCAGACCAAAGAGGAAAGAAAATGCTACCAGCTTCCATTCCATTACCAGCCATTGCTAACACATTTACGTCACAAGGGGTTTCCCAGCTCCATTAACTTTCGCCTAGCAGCTCTTCAGTTTTCCTCCTTGATAATGCCACACAAGGCAAACACGACAATATGATTTATTCGCCATTTTAACAATCTAGAAAAAAGTATTACGCTACAGTTTAAAAAAAATAATAGATAATAAATTTTTCTCAAGGACTAACATGATTTCATTAATTTCTTAATATTAATGAAACATGAACAATTAGTTGAAAAAAATCTTTAAGGTATTTATTATTAAGTTACAAAACGAAACTATTACATTGCTACTGATAAAAGTAGATTATTTAAAATCATGAAATAGGTTCTGAGATCCACAAAAAAATAGAATAACCTTCAACCACGGATTTTACGTTACAGAATAAATCAACTTTTAAAAATATAAATGAAAGTTTAGCTCAAAAAATATATAAAATAATTAAGATATAAGTGGGAAAATCCAAACAATAAAGCCATCAGGCTCCAGCATACGAGTGAAGAATTTACAAGCTAACGTTTAGCCACTTCAGGAAATATTAGAGCAGAAAAACGAGATCAAATAAAAAAAAAGAAATGTTTTGTGAATAGCAGGCGATAACTAAAAAAAATATTTAATTTATATAATTAATAACGGCTCCGCAGCAAACTTGACAAAATTATCTTCTAGGAAAAGAAGAGCTTGTCATTTTTAAAACCATTTAAAGAAGGTTTAAAGACTATTGAGTGGACAAGCTCAGCTAAGTTACGTTTAAAAAAAAGACATAAATTATTTCACCCTTCAACTGTACTATAGTTACCCCACATTTAGACCAATTTCCGCGTTTAATAAGCTTTGATTCCATATTATTTAAGATGAGATGAGGTTTATTAGAAAAAAATTTGAGATTCACCTCAAGTTGTGTAAAGAAATTACTTGATTTTATATCCAGTAATTTAAAAGTATCGGTGGTTTTGGCAAAAATGGCTACCATTAACAGTTGCAAAGGTTTAATTTCTTAGTTTTCCCGTAATATGGGATGTATTGTAATAAATATAATTGCCTCAAAACACATTTTATTTATAAAATAAAAAAATAAAAAATAATGATTTTTCACGTAAGGTGGTTATGAAATTGTGTTTTTCTCCTAGATGTCTGTCAAAGGTATTAATACGTATTTACAA